ATCAAATATCAGGGGACGTGCCAAGTACCCAGGAGTGTGCAAACGCCGACGGCACAGGTCTATGCCTCACTCCTATGCCCTAGACATCCCAGCCACCCAACTCTTCAAGCGTCCGACCACAAACTTCTGACGTGCCACATCAAGTGATATGCGTGACTTATGACTATCTGTGTGGTTTTGAAGCTTCTTGCGATTCGAGTGAGTTCATATGGGTGTCAGTGGAAGCTGCGGCAGCTTGCCGCAGCTCAGTGCAGTCGAGCTGCATCAGCGCCTGCGGCTTCCGATCGCCTGGCCATGTCAGACCTCACAGAAAAACGAGCCACCACTCGCAGGACACCAAGTGTCTAACCGGCATGCTCCCGCGCCTGACGTCGTGAGGAGAAGTGATTGCCTCTCGGGAGCTCTTGAAGATCACGGCGTGCCAGGCAATGCACGCCACACAGTATACCATACCTTCTCTGTGCGCGAACCAGCCTCGCTGGGCTGTTGCGTCGCCACACTGGCCGAAGCTGACGAATGAGAAATGCCCGACAAAGACCCTGGGGAGCGAGCCTGACGGATGCTGAGATTGCTGAGTCTAGACTAAGCCCTAAACGAATACGACGGGAATGCACACCTGCAAGCAGTGGCTGTACAAAAGGTGGCGGGAGTGCGATCAGGTCACAGGCGCAGTACTTGAGCGAAATTTATGGTAGTCTTGAGAGCATCAGAACACCTTTCGCCATTGATCAAATATCAGGGGACGTGCCAAGTACCCAGGAGTGTGCAAACGCCGACGGCACAGGTCTATGCCTCACTCCTATGCCCTAGACATCCCAGCCACCCAACTCTTCAAGCGTCCGACCACAAACTTCTGATGTGCCACATCAAGTGATATGCGTGACTTATGACTATCTGTGTGGTTTTGAAGCTTCTTGCGATTCGAGTGAGTTCATATGGGTGTCAGTGGAAGCTGCGGCAGCTTGCCGCAGCTCAGTGCAGTCGAGCTGCATCAGCGCCTGCGGCTTCCGATCGCCTGGCCATGTCAGACCTCACAGAAAAACGAGCCACCACTCGCAGGACACCAAGTGTCTAACCGGCATGCTCCCGCGCCTGACGTCGTGAGGAGAAGTGATTGCCTCTCGGGAGCTCTTGAAGATCACGGCGTGCCAGGCAATGCACGCCACACAGTATACCATACCTTCTCTGTGCGCGAACCAGCCTCGCTGGGCTGTTGCGTCGCCACACTGGCCGAAGCTGACGAATGAGAAATGCCCGACAAAGACCCTGGGGAGCGAGCCTGACGGATGCTGAGATTGCTGAGTCTAGACTAAGCCCTAAACGAATACGACGGGAATGCACACCTGCAAGCAGTGGCTGTACAAAAGGTGGCGGGAGTGCGATCAGGTCACAGGTGCAGTACTTGAGTGAATTCTATGGTAGTCTTGAGAGCGACAGAACTGGTCATGGATCAAATATCAGGGGATGCGCCAAGTATCCATGAGTGTGCAGATGCGGGCGGCACAGATCTATCATGCCGCACTCCTATGCCGTAGAGCCAACGACCACGAACTTCTGACGTGCCAAATCCACAGACTGATATGTCTGCCTTATGACTAATTGCGTGGTGTCTTGAAGTTCTTGCGCAGTTCGAATTAGTTCATACGGACGTCAGTGGAAGTTGCGGCAGTTTGCGGCAGCCCAATGCAGTCGAGCTGCATAAGCACCCAAGCCCTCCGATCGCCCGATCAGGTCGGTGGCAGGCGAGAGAGGCCAAGACCTCACAAGAAAAAAGAGCCACCGCTCGCAGGATATCAAGTGTCTAACCAGCATGCTCCCGCGCCTTATTACGTCATGAAGGGAAGCGATTGCCTCTCAGGATCTCTTGAAAATCACGGCGTGCCAGGCAATGCACGCCATACAGTGTACCACATCTTCTCCGCGTGCAAACCAGCCTGGCTGGGCTGTTGCGCCGCCACACTGGCCGAAGCTGACGAGCGCGAAATGCCCGACAAAGACCCTGGGGAGCGAGCCTGGCAGATGCATCTGCAAGTAGCCGTCGTACAAACCATGGTGGACGTGCAATCAGTTCACAGGCGTGGTACTTGAGTGAAAAGGTGAAGGTCGCAATAGTCTATGGCAGCATCAGCGAAGTGCTGCCCAATGATCAAATGCGCAAGGAGACGTTTTAAGTACCAACCAGTGTGGGCAGATGTGGGAGGCATAGATCTATGACGCGTGCTCCTATCCTCGACACCCCAGCTACTCACCTCTTCAGGCATCCGACACAGAATACTTCTTCGATGGCGTCACACAACTTCATGAGATGCCAAATCTACAGCATTCATTCCATTCCTGAGGCAGCAGCTTCAGGCAGAGGCGAAGCCTCGACAAAACAGGCCCCAGCCATGGGTAACAACTGGTATGTCTGACTTCCAAGTGTCTGCGCGGTGTCTCTGCACAATTTGCGTCGACCCATACGGGCGCCAGTGGAAGTTGCAGCAGTCTTCAGGTCAGTGCAGTCGAGTTGCATCAGCACCCAAGCCCTCCGATCGCCCGGTCGGGTCGGTGGCAGGCGAGGGAGGCCAAGACCTCACAAAACATGAGCCACCGCTTGCAGGACACCAACAGTCTAACAAGCATGCACCCGCGCCTTACATCATGTGGGGGAGCCATTGCCTCTCAGGAGCTCTTGAAAATCACGGCATGCCAGGCAATGCGCGCAACACAGTATACCACATCTTCTCTGCGCGCAAACCAGCCTCGCTGGGCGGTTGCGTCGCCACGCTGGTCGACGCATGCTGGGCCTCGAATGACAGGAACGCACATCCGTAAGTAGTAGTTGTACAAACCACGGTGGGAACTCAATCAGGTCACAGTCGTGTACTGGAATGAAACTGCGAGGGTCACAGTAGTCTTTGGTAGCGCAGAACATTGTTGGCCAATGATCAAATGCAGGGTGTGCCAAGTACTAATTTAATGAGTGTGGGCAAATGCGGGCGGCATCGATCTTGACGCCGCTGTGTTTATCCTAGCTACCCACCTGCTCAAGCATCCAGGGCCTGTAGGCCCAGCGATCGTGGCGGAAAAGGTGGAGACTGCGGTGATGACCATCGTCGTGGTCGGGGTCGGGGGTAGGATGGTCGCGGCGGCATTTGTTACGGCTATCAAGTACACTTTGCCAAAAGGCAGGAGAAGGCTGGGCAGCCCGGCAAAACGAAAAGGGAAGCTTCTGCTGCAAAGTCTGGTTCTGAGAGCTGGGCTGTGAGTAGCCCAGCCTCCATCATTTCCAGCTCCGAAGAAGTATGGTTGAGTCGGGCCTGTTCAGTTACAGTTTCATATCGTTTGCAATATGTAACACCCAAGAGATACATGAATCGCGACAGTCAACTTGCGGAGCCTGCACGCCGCGGGACCTCGGACATTCTGATGTGTCTTGCGAAGGATGCTCACCTCCAGGCTCGTATAAGGAGCCAGCCGGACGGCCCACTTCCACAAGGCCTGAAACAAGTTCATGCTCAGATCTGGCATGTTTTCCCCAAGGCCGCGTTAATCCACTGACATGAACGTGAGAGAAGCTAGAAGCCCTGACGAGAAACAAATCATGCGCTGGACCAAACTCTGGTCCCTATAAAGCCGTAAAAATGCCTCAAAGAAAGCCCGGCTCAATATGGCCGAAATGCTTCAACCCTCCGCCCTCCCCGCGCATGGGAGGAGACCTTATCGCGGATGGGAGCCCGCGCCTTGCCAGTGAAAAAGATCGCGAGGAGCGTGAGGAGCAACATGAGCAAGACGGCGCCGTGGGCAGCCAGCCACAGGCGCTCCTGTCCCGAGCACGGGCCGCATTCGCGGCCTCGACACCTATGGTCTCCTATGGCGTCCCCAAGATCGTTCGTCGCTCCTCGCGCCGGCCCGCCTCGTAGCCCTGCCAAAATTCCAAAGCATGAATGTCAGGGCTTAGCTTTCTGCTCAGCTGCCGCAAGTTTCCGCCTGCGCAAGGGCCTGTATGGCCTCGATGCTGAGCGGCCCGTTTGGCCTGGGCCGACATATGCTTCGTAGAGGGGTCGGATCAAGCTCTTTCTGACCAAATCTCAGGTCCGGACAGGTCAGCCTCGAGCGGAAGCAACATGGCTGTCGCAGGCCGCAGCTCCAATACCCACAAGGCGAGTCTTAGAGTGGAATCGTTAGAAGTTTTGATGTGGCGTTCTAGCTTCGTAAGATGAATTACTGCTCGTTTCGGGTCTTCCTGAGCCCTGCATCGCTGTTTGTGGTATGTGAGTGTGCGCTGCACGGTTCAGAGTTGTGACGTGGCATAAAGAGGAAGGGAAGGTTGGTCATCCAAACCCACGCATCACGTGGCATCGATCGTGAAGAGCTTCGCAGCACTGCGCTTGCACTTCTTGATATTCGCTGGGGTACAATTTGGGTATCGCACTACCAGGAGCTTTCGGCTTTTCTCCGAGTAGCTTTGAGTTCACTTCCTTAATTGCTCAGCAGGACATAGGGCACCGTCCCTGGACGCCAGGCCCTCCGAGTAGCCCGAATCCCTGAACCCAGATCCTGCCTGAGCGCTTTCGAGCTGTGTTCTTGCGACAGGGTAGCTTTGTTTTCATGTTCTCTGGACCCCGTCGTCATGGCTGCTGTGAGATCTTTCCCTGATCTGTCGGATGCCCCGAAGTCTACTAGTTTCATATGTTCGATCGGCCTTGCTCTGTAATGCTGCGCAAACACTTTCTATCCGAGAACCGATGCGAGTCTTGTCGAGACGAGCACGTCGTAAAGCGCAAGTTGAGGTCCACTTCTCACTCACTGTCGCGCAGCAGTGGAAGAACATCCTAAACCCCAAACCCTAATCCCTACGGGGATTTCAGCCCTTGCTTGCTTGCGCTTGCAGCAACGCACTTTTTATCCTCGACTTCGTCGATAGATCGGAAAGCATTGGAGACCCGCCAGGCGCCTGCGCCACAAGCTGAACGAACACGGAGCACACGGCACAGGCTTCGAGCCGCTCATCATGGGCCTCAAAATGGCAGCAGGGATCCCTTGCCTCAGCACAGCAAGGCGCTTCAAAGCAACTTTTTGCCCGGGGAGTCCAGCCTTGAACTACGCTGAGCCCGGAGCTTGCACATTTGCAGCATCCTTTGCACACCCTGCAGAACCGAGAGAATCTGTAGAACAAGTTCGACGTGGAAGAAGCATCTGCCAAGGAACCTCCAGGCCAAGCCCGTCACAAGGCTCAACGCCCGCCTTCAGCAAATCTCATTGAAACAAGTTGCAGCGTCACGAGAATCGATGTTCCAGTGTGGGCTCCCGAGGCGCCAACCTCCCCCCAGGAATGTACGACAAAAGAAACCACCTTGATTGCGACATCGACTTTTGGGCTTCTTAAGTCTGAAACAAAGCAGAAGGCTTCTGGTCATCTGCAAGCAGAATGCGCAGAATGGGCATTGTCCTGCGCTAGGGAGCCCCCGAGCCAACAGTAACAGGAGACCCTGGCAGCACGACGCACCTTTGTGGCCGTCGTGTGCCGAAAAGAACATACGGAACACATCATGCCTCTTTGTCACGTCTGCCAGGAACTATAATCCCCTGAGAACCTTAATAAAAGTAATATGTTTAATATCCTCTTGGGTTTTATATAAACAAAAACATAAAAGAATTCCTAAGGGGGGATAGAGGGAACTCTTTGAGGCAACATGAACCGGTTCTCATCCAACAATTTCTGATCCACTTGGTGGCTCTGCTCGATGCCCACTTCGGGAAGCCACCGACCGACCCGAAACGCTTGTAGAATCGTGATAACTTTTTCCTTTTTTGTACTATATTATATTGGTTTAGGGTTCAGAGCTTAGGGTTTGATATGGTTTGGTCTAACTCTCTATATACTGCTGCACTATCTTGGCTTTTGGTTGAGGGGTTCATCTTATCTTATATGTGGTAGGTTCTCAAAATGATGGTTCCTTCTTGGGGGTACCAAAATAATAAGGGCCGCCTTAGAATGCGGCCCGCAAAAGGGAACATTTTTTGGAGAAGTGGCCATATTGCTAGCATAGTACAATTACGGTATGTAAGATCAGAACTACGACTGTAGCTTTGAAACCCTTTCCCTAAACCCTAAACCCTAAACCCTAAACCCTAAACCCTAAACCCTAAACCCTAAACCCTAAACCCTAAACCCTAAACCCTAAACCCTAAACCCTAAACCCTAAACCCTAAGCCGCAAAGCAATGTGGCAGAGCGGGAGTGGCATCTAGAAGTTCTGGGGCGCCGGCACAAGCGAGCTCACCTCCAAGGAGGTTCATGGATAGTTATAATTGGGGAGTACGTAAGGTACCCATAATTCTAAAGCGGCTATATCCTTATTTTGAGTAGAAATTATAGCCCTACTTAAACTACCCATAACCCCTCAAGCATGGTATAGGCTTGCATGACATTGCTGTCAACCCTTCCTGCACCGCGGAGAAGGCAATCGTCAGCAAGTAAGACCTGGCAAACACTCTATCAGGTCGCCAGCTCTAAACCCTAAACCCTAAACCCCCTAAACCCTAAACCCTAAACCCTAAGCCCTAAACCCTAAACCCTAAACCCCAAACTGCATCTCCAAGACCTTCCACACATCGCAACCCCACCTGTAGATCAAAGAGGCCCAGAGAGTGCCCGCCTGGCCAAGGAAGGACTCAAACAAACAAAAGACTGGCTGGCTCTTGGTAGGGAAAGAGGGATGAGGTACCCTAGATATACCCTTAAAGGGCTTTTATAGGGCCCTATGTATACACGTTAAGGCTCTTAGTAGGGAATGAGGGGATGCAGGCCCTAGATATACCCTGTATATAACGGTTTTTATAGGGCCCTATATATATATATATATATACATGCCCTTGAAGGTTCTTAGGAATGATGGAATGCGGGCCCTATTTAGTAACTTAAAGGAAATATATGGGGCCCTATACAAATAATCCTTTACAAGTATATACATATATATATATACATATATGTATGATATATATATATATATAGATCCCTCATTCCCTCATTCCCTACTAAGAACCAAGGGGAAGATTCGTGGCAGAGCAGAGTACATGAAAAGCGTACAGCGCGTCAGCCGAAAGCCAACTGGGGGCTTGCGATACTTACACACCTTATTGGGGTCCGTATTCTAAGGGAATTCTATACCAATTGGGGCCGAAAATTTGGGAGTCCGGTCCCTTGATGTCCTTTGTTTTGGTAAACCCCCAAAGAAAGAAATGCCAAGCTCAAGGCCATAGACGTGCTGTAGGTCAAGGTGAACGGAAGCCGGCTGCGGGAGAACAAATGCCTCAGATCTGGACTTCAAGTCCCAGCCGGAAGCATGCAGAAGACCACTCATATATTGGGATGTTCCCTCTACTAACAGTCCTTAATGGGGATTATAGTAGGGCTTGCTATAATCTCTATTAAGGACTGTTAGCATAAGGGGGAACATCCCAACTCAACCACTTCATGTGCCTCGCAAACGCCACGTGGCCACGGAGAGCCGAGAAGCTTCCAAGAAAGCAGAGCGAGCCTCCGGAACAGCAACCCGCATGCAACGTGACACGTTACGTGACTCTGGGCTTGATAATATGGGTTTAGGGTTTAGGGCTTACAGGGTTTATGGGGTTATAGGGTTTGTAGGGTTTATAGGGTTTAGGGTAGCCAGTGAAGCCAGCGGGCCAAGAGTAAAGAGCAAAGCGAACTTCTGCGGCATCAATACCACCACAGGCCTCAAAGGCAGACGAAGCACGCCAGGGATCACCAGACCAAGGGACAGTTGGGGCCCGCACAAGAATACAAAGGCGAGGCCTCGTCAATGACACAGCTTTAGACACATGGGCGCCCATATATACTGAGTTTTTTGGTTGTTGGAGCACGGAGCTAAGCAGCTGACTCATGAGAAAGCAACCGAGCAGTGCTCCCCCAAAGAACGTCATCCACCTGGCGTGCAACAAAAGGTACGACACTCGCGAACTTGCCGCAAGAAATGTTAGTTGGCCTCTCTCTGGAAATCGCATTCTCCGAAATTGTCGTGGAGGCTTGCTTGGCCATTCCCTGGCCAGGCGGTGCCAGGCGGTGACATGTTGGGCAGGAGATCCCTCGCTTAACTTCCAGTCCTTCGCTTTCCCCGTGATGTCGGAGAAGCCCTGCTGCAGGCCCTGGCACAGCGGCACAACTTCTTAAAGTCGAGGGCATTCGGGTTCCAGCTGCGCAACCAGGGGCACGAAGAATGCATATTCTAGGTTGGCCCTTTAAACCCTCTGAAACAGGTTCCGAACTATTTCCTCTTGAACCCAACAAGGGAAAACTTTCGAAAATCTCAAAGTCCCATCTAGTATTCAGCCTTTAGGTTGCGCGTTGGAGACTCAGGAGTAGTCCAGCGGACGCCTGCTGCGCAGACGATGCAGCCTTGGACAAGGCATTGAAGTCTCCGGCCTCAGTTGAACCCTTAGACCCAGCAAGTTTCCCCTGTTAGGGTTCATAGGGTTCATAATTAGGGTTCATATAGGGTTCATGTAAGATTCATATAGGGGTTCATAGGGTACACCAGTCCGAACCGCACGCTCTTGTTGCAAGAAGAACAGCCCAACATCTTCGGTCCAAGCTGTAGCCGCAGCGGCTGCCTCTGCCACGCTAGGCAGGGCATTGCCAATCTTCGAAAACCACCTGGCCAAAGCCACCCTCGACCCTCGACTGCCTCTATTTCAGACTTGCAGAGTCTTGTTTCACCGGCTCATCTTGAGGCTCAACCGCGTCAGACACACGAAGATGAGGCTTGCGCCGCAGGGGCCGCAGGATCCTCGCAAGCAGGTCAAAGTGATTCGGACTGCTCTCACCTGGACGGCCACGCGGGCGACGTGAGACCTCGACGTCGGCGTCGGCGCCACCTCGACCTTGCGTGGCAGTCCGAAATAGTCCGTTTAGGGTTTAGGGTTTAGGGTTTAGGGTTTAGAGCGCATCAAACATCAGCATACTGCCCAGGCATGACAGCCAGGCTTGTCCGTCTTGTTCCTGGGAGCCAGGATTCCTGGTCAAGTCCTTCCCAGACCCCCCATCCCCTTAACACAACATAGAGCCCTCTAAATAGGAAACAAATATAAGCAAGATTGAACGAGGCAGCTGAGTCAGCTGAGACTTCGACCGAACCCTTTAAGCTTCGTCGTGAAGTCATCGATGGCTCGGGAGCTGCTGCCTCGCATTACGCGAACCTCAGGCGCTTTTCTGGTGCACCCATGTGCACAGCCAAGCCCGCCAGAGTCTTGCATCTAAGCCTCACACTTTAGGAGCACAAGCTGCATCATGTGCGTGTCTTAAGGCGTGTCTTAAGGCGTGTCAGGCAACTTCAACTATGAGATTCTACTACGAACCGCTGACCCAACACAACTTCGAAAGGGATCGAAGTTCCTCCAACAGACATCAACTACACTACGCTCAAAGCACGATGATGAGAAAGACTTTGAACCAACGTGAACCTATGAGGAACTACTCCTCGGCATGTGTGAGCCAACTCAGCCAACTCTGCGGCACAAGGTGAGCAGTCTGGTTCATGGCAGAATTTCAACACCACAAGGACATCTCCAACATTAACATGAAATGTGGCCGAAGGGTGCGATTTGTCCAAGACGCCGCGTCTTAAGCTTGCGAGCTACGTTTGTCCGAGCTACGTCATGATGGCATCGGATGCCGTATCATTGATGATTGGAGCTGGCTCTGGCGCAGGCTCCGGCGATGGCGCGCCCGATGGAAGATCGGCTGGAGGAAGCTTCCTCGGGTTCGGCTTCCCCAGGTTCGGCTTCGCCAGATTCTCGACGCAGCATGCCCGCGTGCTGCGCAGGAACTCGCTCACCGTGAGGGAAACACCCATGGAGCCAACGTCGAAGAGCAAGGGCCGCTTCATCTCCGTGACTGAGCTGTCAACCAGAAGAAGTGGAGGCCTCCCCTCGGCATCAGGTGGATAGCCGAAAGGAGGGCAAACAAAGGCCGGGAAACCCGTCTCCTTGGAAATATCGGCGAGCTTGCACTGTTTCACGGAGGTGACGTTTTGCTGGACAGCCTTGGCAACCTTCTCCACATCGGTCATCAGCGGGTGCGGCACCACGCTGAGCACACGCCGCCCATCCACTTGCCAAGCCACGGTCTGCATGAAGACGCCGTGTGACACGAAGGATGAGTTGGCCTGCAGGTATTGATCCCAAGCTGGGACTTCAGCGTTGATCTTCTCAGAAGACTTCGAAGCCACTTCTTTACCTTCTTTTCTGGCTATTGCCTTGGCTTTGGCAGCCTCCTGTTGCCTCAGCAAACCCGACAACAAGGTCAATCTCACACTTCTCACTTCCATCGCACTCAGGCAAGACTAGTGAGAACAGCAAGAGCAAATGCAGTCGAGGCACGCATACTTGACAGATCGGAAAGATCGCTGCAACTTATACCTCTGCAACGGCAGCTCCAATCAGAGAACCAGGGTTAAGTCATAAATGGAAGGCCCCATCTCTTCGACAAGCTACAGTATGGAGAGTTGAGTGGACCCACTTCTCGGACATTCCACAGATTACCTTAATATTCCTCCCCACCCATCTATTTGTGGCATCTGTCCCTGTCTTTCTGTCTCCGTCTCGCCTTGACATGTTTGCACTCTAGACCCTTAAGCTGACGTATAAGCTTGCAGCACGATGGGCATCATGTCTATCACCGAAATCTCGGGTAAAAGTGGGGTATCGAAGCATGACTCTTCACAAACCAACCTGTCGATCGGTCCCTGCAAGTAGACATGTGACGCCCTGCTTCTCACACAAAGATCACGACTATCTCAGGTCGTGGTTGCCGTAGTTTTGTCATGGTCGAAGAGAACTTGAACAAAACTCCCGAGAATCGAGCAGGCCAATTATACGAGCCTAGCTTGTGTACGAAGAAACAGAGCATATACGCACGAACACCCACATGGAGATGACAAACAGTTTGAGGGACCCTGTGACATCTCAGCATGGACGAATGAGAGGAGCCCACTGTGACCTGCCTGCGGCATCTGACCCCGTGCTTTTTGAGGAAGTTCTCTACCTAAACAAAGATTCCGAGCACTCATCACAGAGCCGGGCCGCAGGTGCATAAACACAAATTCCACCGGGAGCCGTGCAGGCGGAAGCAACTCGGCCTTGCGCTGGGGTGGCGCAGCCTTCGGCGTCTCAACATGCTCCACATGCTCTTTTTCCGCGCTGCAACAAAGCAACTCACCTCAGGAGCCGACCTCGTTCACAGGCCTTGGCTCTTGTTCAACAGGCCTTGGTCGCACTTGCGCAATCAAGCTGAACTGCACCCAGTCGTCGGCACGCCGGCTCGACATGCATGCAGCAATGAGGCGGTGGCCTTCGCTTCTTTCCCCTCTGAGAGCCTGTCAACAGCAAAACCAACAAACCAACAAGGGCGCGCCAACTGGAGTGTGAGTAGCTTAGGAGGGGGTCTTAGAATGTCCGACCGTTCTTTGAAGCACTTTAACTTTAGGTCCCTCTTTTTGTGTTGAGCAATTTAGGCCCCTCTTCTTGCGATGGGCGGCTCGGCAAGTAAAGCAAACCAGCTGCTGCGTGTACTTGGCAGCACAGCTTGAGAAGGCTACCCGCACGAATGCACGAGCAGGGGAACTCAAATTCCACAAGCTTGGGCCCGGACCGCGACCTGGCGTCTGGTCTCTCCCTCGTCCAGCTCCCGGGGTGCCCTGCTCTGAAACAATGCAGATTTGATATTTTACCATTATTCATATGATTAGTATTATTGATAATATTCATGTCACATTCATAATATAGATACTGTTCATATTATTAGTATTATTGATATTATTCATGTCACCCAAAAATGAAGGGCTCAAAGCCCTTCAAGTCGGCGCAGTGACCCAAGCCTCTCTGCCTTTTCTGACAGCCGTTGTCCGCGGTGGTCTCCCCCGAGTGGCGGCCCCAGCTCCAGCCTGAACTTCCCAGGGTTTAGGGTTTAGGGGTTAGGGTTTACATAGAAGAAATAGCAGGGATGTGATAACTTTTCGTCTCGGAACAGGACTGAACGGAAGGAATTGGAGTAGTGGCAAGAGCAGCAGGAGGTAGCGGACGCACAAGAGAATGCGCTAGTCGGAGCGACTTGAAACTTGCCATCGCAGGAGCATTGTAGAAGAAGTGGTGGTGGTGGTGGTGCTGATGGTGATGGTGGGGTGGTGGTGATGGTGGGGTGGTGGTGATGGTGGGGTGGTGGCGGCGAGAACATCTCATTGATGTTTCTGTTGCCGGTTTCGAATGCAAGACATGTGGTGCCTCGAACGGCTGCCGAAGAAAAGCGAACTGTCTACTCTACTAGAAGCAGCCTTTGTCCCTCGGGATAAGGGTTTGGGTGGTGACCGCGATCGCGGCAGCATCACCAGCAGCAGCGGGGGTGGGAGCACAAGCGGGGCCAAAATGTCATGACACCCAGGTCTTTCCCATTCCTTTCATTCTCCTATGGGCATTTGTGTACCTCTGAGAGAAAGAGCATGCCTCGCTAGAACTTGCCACTTGATGCCACATACATCTTTCACGTGTCTGGACCTCTGGATCAACCCTCATATGCTGTGTGCAAGGCTGTACCCTGAGCTGGCACCACTGCTTGCAGCACCTTGATCAGACACACTCAGACAAATTAAAAATAATCATAATAATAATAACAATAGTAATAGTAATAATAATAACAATAATATACTAATAATAGTAATAATACTAGTGCAGCATCATCAGCTTTGACGGAGTAACTGCAGTAGCAGCCAGCAGGAGGTATCAGTTGGCAGCAACACATTTCCAGAGCATCTCAGAAACCAGCCGCGGCATATTCGGCCTTGTGCAAGTGGCTGCTGGACTAGACACTTGTCCCTAGATCAGGACACCGCCAACGAGCCTCTGCTCGCTTCAGTGCTGCTTTCAGGTCGTCCTCTTTGCTCAAAGCCTTGGCTTCACTTGCTGAACTTGTGTGCGTGCGTGCACGCGCCCGCGCACGTCGTGCAGTCTCGCTGAAAGCCTTGCTGCTTGCTCCGTGAGTGCGCTCTGAACCCAGTGTTTTACACCATAGATTGCACATGTCCTTCATGTCCTGTGCCCACGGCTATGCCGTCATTCTGGCCCGTCTTCTGTCCCTCACCTTGTCACAGGGCGCAGCCCAGGGATGGAACAGGCATCGCATCTTCGAGCACGCCCATCGGCTGCAAGGAGCAAAGACCAGAATACCCCCCGGCCCTACAAACATCCAACAGAAAACAAACCTTTTCACCATCCTACTCACCCCTGAGCCCTGAAAAATGTCTTCTGGAGATGTTCGAACTCCCGTCAAGCTGTCAACCGTCCGTCGCCTGGGCCCTGGGTGGCTGAGCTGGGTTTAGATGAAGACGCGCGCATGAACAGCAGCCTGGCATGTCCAGCAAGGCTTCTTGTGGCCCCCTTGTTACTGCGCCACTACAACTGTGCCGCTGCCTTGAAGGTTACAAAGCTTTGTGCCACCTCTTATGCACAGAGCTGCTGGGAAGCCTTGTACGGGCAAGGGCAGAGCCTCCCATCAAAACCTGCTGCAAGCCCATAAATACCACCTCTATGGCAATTCCACGCCGACCGTTCCTCCCTGTTTAATCATGGCAGCTTGTCGGGTCTAGCAGGCCACATGATCCAAGACCTGAGCTGACTAGCAGATGAAAGGGCCGCAGGAGCCTCTTACGCAGAAGAGGGTGAACAGGGCAAAGGAAAAGAAGGAACTCCATCCTGCTTCTTTACTGCAACTGTCTATGACTATGATTCGGCTTCGATCTTGCAGCAATTGCAGGAAGCACTTCTGGGGGGCGCTGCGTGCAGACAAAAACGAAGGTGTCACCTCCGCTGCGGCCTAGCAAGAAGACGACCATGTGTCATGTAAGCAGAAGAACCTGTGAAGGACGCTACTTCACTACTTCACAGAGGAGATGCTTGCTTCTCTTCGAAAGCGCTTGCGACCGGCCACGCAGGTAGAGCAAACATGGGGGGGGGGGTTCATTGCTTCTGGCCAGCACCAGCCTGCTCATAATACCCACAAACCCCTCAGCACCTAAACTCTGGAAATAAAGGGCTGAGCTGGAGGGCCTTTTCTTGTGACGATCCTTCTGTCTGGGCAGGAGGGGCCGCTGCCGCGGTTCCCTGGCAGAGAAAAGCACATGCACGCCTACATGCAATTCACATCATTCTCATCCGAACCAGGTCTGTGGGGGGCGAGGCTTGAGGACAAGGACCCTGAAAGAGTCCTGGCCTGCACCTCAGCAGAGCCGCTGGGGCCTGAAAGTTACGAGGGGAACTGCAAAGCCAGGAGAGTTGCCCCGATGGCGAGGGGATGCCTGCAAGGACTCTGGGCGTCGCTGGATCCGCGGGCCCCGCAGGCTCCTGACAGGCTATTAGAACTCTTCAATCCGTAGTCAGTTCCCTCTTTTTTTCGTTGAAAGAAGAAGCATCGGTCTCTGTACATCTCCGTCTTTCTGCGGCGTCCTTCCGTCTTGGTGTCATCTGCCTCTGGCGCTTCTTCATGCGCCGCAGCTCCGTGGCTTGCTTCTCCAGAGCCTGCTGCTCCTGGGCAGGCCCGTGCTTGCCATGACAGATTTAGGGTTTAGGGTTTAGGGTTTAGGGTTTAAGTTTAGGGTTTAGGGTTATAAAACACATGCACTGGTAGCCAGAAACCATGTCGTGGCGTGCCTTCACGTGGGCATAGTAGACGGAGTCCGTGTGTCCGGAGTGGCCCGGATCCTTGCGATCCGCCTGCGAGCAAAAGGTAAGGTGCTCCTCTGTAAGCCATTACTTCCAATTTCTCACGCGTGATGCAGATGATCAAGCCGCCATGGCGAGATGTAGCGAGGGCCACACATGTGTGTACTTGACACGACAAGCGTCGTGATGACTTGAGCTGACCAGCAGTGACTATACCATATCCCCTCATTCCCCTCCATGTGTTGGAGCTTCATGTTATACGGATAGGTGCGGGCACACTGCTGGCACGGCAAGTCACAGCCCACCTCCGTAGCCACTCGAAGCTGGAAGCCTCCGGCCCGATGTCTTATCCATGGCCACCCCAAACAAACCCCAAGCCCCAGGCCGACTTGGCATTGTCTGAGTGACGGGCACAATTCTTTGAGACCTCCGCGTCGCGCCTGCAGGCTGCCAGCTGCTAAACCCCAAAGTTCAGGGATCAAGCTGCACCGAGTGCAACTCCTGCCTTTCCTTTCTTGGCATCCTGCAACATTGCAAGCTTGGAACAGCAACCATGAGCATGCAAGTCGGGCCTTCTGTTTGCCGACAGATATCGGCTTGGTCTTCACCCAAATCTCTTCAGAGATCTGGCCGGGCGCTGCTAGCTCTTGCTTGGCCTGACAAGGGCATCGAAGGTTTAGGGTTTAGGGTTCAGGGTTCAGGGTTTAGGGTCGGTTTAGGGTTTAGGGTTTAGGGTTTCGGGTTTAGGGTTTAGGGTTGGAGCAATGAGGGCAAGTTCATGGCAGCCTTCTGGACAGAGTCCTCAGCTTCGAAGACCAGATTGCAAGAGGAGTCGTCCAACCACTCCACCTGAAGGTTTTGGAGCACACGATGCTGAAACCACTCAGGATTTAGGGCTTAGGGCTTAGGGCTTAGGGCTTAGGGCTTAGGGCTTAGGGCTTAGGGCTTAGGGCTTAGGGCTTAGGGCTTAGGGCTTAGGGCTTAGGGCTTAGGGCTTAGGGTTTAGGGTTTAGGGTTTAGGGTTTAGGGTTTAGGGTTTAGGGTTTAGGGTTTAGGGTTTAGGGTTTAGGGTTTAGGGTTTAGGGTTTAGGGTGCCAGGAGCTCTGAAAAGCTGTTGAGAGCCGCCTGCTTGGGCTGCCAGGCAGCAAACACTTCCAAAACCTGAGCACGGCTGGTCGCACTGTGACAAGCAGAAGCCAAAACGGTGCGCAAACAGAGAGCATGCGAACAGGTGGCATCTACGTGCGTGGATTAGTATATGAATAAAAACATACAATAATCCGCCGAGGCCTCGGGCCGAAGGTGTATAGGTAGTCAGAACAGGCACCCCCCTCCAAATCCTCCCCCAAAGCCCTTTTTCGGACCCCTTTTTTTGCCTCAAATGGGTACCCCCCCTAGGTGAGCAGGGTCCGCAAGCGGATGGTTCGCCAGGACCAGAGGCAGGTGCAGAGCGGCTGGGCTCGAGGTGCTAATGGACGCAACAAGAGGGGCTTGATGTTTGTAGGTGTCGCTATAGCACACCCAATGGTTCATAACCTAGGGGTGTCGCTTTTCAAGTGTTCCCATCGTTTTACAGGGTTTTGGGCATTCGTGTCCACCCCTTGCTCACATAAGGTGTTTGTGAAAGGCGGAGTTTACCCCCCCCCACCCCCCCCTTCCACCCCCCCCCCCCACCCCCCCCTTCCACCCCCCCCCCCACCCCCCCCACCCCCCCACCCCCCCACCCCCCCACCCCCCCCCACCCCCCCCCCCCCTCCCCCTCCCCCCCCCCACCCCGCCTCCCCCACCCCACCTCCCCCCTCCCCCCCCCACCCTGCCGAAGAGTCGCCTTAAACCTTAAAGGGGCCTGGCTCAACCCTGCGATCACTCCAAGCTGAACCCTAAACCCCAAAAAACCCTCAACCCCAAAGCGTGAACCTTGAGCCCTAAACTAACCCTCAACCCCAAGCCCCAAACCATAAACCATAAACCCGGAACCCTCAACCCTCAACCCTCAACCCAACCCTTATTGCTTGGGGTCCAGCGACTTGGGCGCTGCGGAATCACCATGCTCACGCGGATGCGCTGGGCCGGGCCGAGGCGGGTCGCGTAGCGTTAAAATTATGTAATTGTATATATAATATTATATATATATATTATGTGTAATTTAAAAAGAAATTTCATGGCGGAAGTGACATGCCGTGCCGGGATGCCTCGCCTCTTTGTTCGAGAGGAAGTCCACGCCAAAACAATGTAAAACGTTGGGCCTGGCAAACATCAGAAGCAACTCCTCTGGCCCCGATCGAGGGAAGCCAGAGTTGCGAGAGCAACACATGTTTGAGCTTGATTGCTGTGAGGCTTCTCTTATTCTTCCTGCAATTATTATTCTTCTACTTCTTCTTCTTCTTCTTCTTCTTCTTCTTCTTCTTGTTGCGTTGCGTTTATTCTTCTTCTTCTTCTTCTTCTTCTTCTTCTTCTTCTTCTTCTTCTTCTTCTTCTTCTTCTTCTTCTGCTTCTTCTTTTTGTCAGGGGCATGAGCCTTCAGATGCACGTGTGATGTGGGAGTATGAAAGTGCGGCTCTCAGGAATCCGGCCCTTTGATCTCTACCGGGCAACGGTTGAAAGATTGCCGTTCTCGGTGTTGCACCACTCTTCGCTGGCAGGAGAAGGAAAGGTAGGCTCGCACCAGTCCCCGAGCAACACCCAAGCCAACGGGGTCAAGGATGACGGCCCCGGGCGAGAAGGACGCGTCGTGGTAGCAAGATGGCTCCGTCTCGCTCTCCCCCTGTCTCCCCGTCTCCCCTCTCTCTCCCCTCTCTCTCCCCTCTCTCTCCCCTCTCTCTCCCCTCTCTCTCCCCTATCTCTCTGTCTCTCTCTCTTATCTCTCTCTCTCTCTCTCTCTCTGTTCTCTCTCTCACTCTCTTAAGGGTTTAGGGCTTGGGATTTAGGGTGTCTCTCCGCGCAGCTCTCAAAAGCATCGCAGCCCCAGCCTCGAGGGGGCGTAGCTATTGTGTTCTCGCCGCGGGCAGATGTGAGCCTCCTGTGTGGTGTGTGCGGTTCATGGTTTCTTGTGTCGAAGCGCAACACAGTAGCCAACTTTTGCAGCTTTATCACCGGAGGCGCGGCGGCTGGCGACCTCAAATCCGAACCGAAACCTGCAAGCAACTTTCTTTTCCGCTGCCGTCACCTCCACATCCTCCATGGCGTCAAGTACTGTCGCAGTAGGCGTCGCTGCTGGTACCAGATTCGAGTCTGGAACCGTTCAATCAAAGAGTTTGGTCTGGCTGTGTCGGTTATGCCCTTCAAGGCTTAGGCTTTGGTAAGTTTTGGTAACGTGGGTTGAAACAACTGCCTCTGAGCCGTACTTGCACCATGCGGACATGTGGGGTAACGCTGACACCTTTCTGACCATGTCCGACATCGCCCTTGTCCAAGCGTCACTCCAGAAATCTTCACATCAGAGCAACATCCAAGCAAGCACTAAGCTGCATCCAACCGACTTGCAACTCTGAGAAGACATGCGGAAACTACGCACCTGGCAACCTGTCTTTTTCCACTGCTAGGAGCGGAGCTGCGGGTCATCGCTTTCACCCGCCGATCATTAGCCATGCTTAAGCTGCTGTATAAGACTTGTGCACGCAAGCATCGTCCCACTCATGAAGGCGCCTGCGCACGCAGTACTTCGAGTCATCACCACGAGCGCTCTCACAACGGTCACAATGCAAGCGGGCAAGCATCCTTTTCAGAAGTGCGGTGCTCCCCTCCTCTAGGGAAGGCTTTGCAGAAACTGGCGCATCTGCTGCGGGAGCATCTCAACATCTGCCCAGCATGAAGCCACATGCAACTGTGCCTGAGGCAGCAGATCCTGAGCTCCAGCATGGCGTTTTCAACCCAACTCTTCGACAGGAACACAACCCAAATCTTGACATTGTCAAAACGTCGAAACCCTAAACCCTAGACCCTACATCCTAAACCTAAAGCCTATGAATGATTAATGCCAAGCAGTGAAAAGCCCAGCTTCGCATAGCAGCTCAGCAGCCTCCAGTGGATGCTGCGCATCGGACTTCCACGCCAACACCAGAATCGGCATTGTCAAGCCTCGGGTTAAAGGCCCATGGGTTTAGGGTTTAGGGTTTAGGGTTTAGGGTTTAGGGTTTAGGGTTCAGGGTTTAGGGTTTAGGAACGCAAAGCCATGTGCAAAACCAATATCCCAGATGGTCAAATATCTTGTTGATCTCCAGGTGGCGTTTCAACTCCGAGGGTGGCGGCAGATCCGAGTCAATCGCACCTCGAAGGGCTAACGAAATTCATTCAGGGACCTGTAAGAAAGTCCCCCAAGTAGCAGGATTCCTTCATAATACGGGACCCCAATGAGGCACCCCCCCTTACTAGTAGGATTCCTTTTACTAAGGACCCCAGAAATTGTCGCCACCTGATAGCAGGATTCCCTTTTACTAAGGACTCCCCAATAAGGTACCCCCTGATAGTAGGATACCCGAAACCCTAAACCCTAAACCCGAACCCTAAACCCCAAACCCTCCCTTATACTAAGAGATTCCAATGAGGCACCCCGAATTTCGGAGACCCCCCGACCTCGAAGGGCTGCGCAATATCGGCGCTGGCCCATTGCAAACTTGGCCCGCCAACCGATGTCGAAGGAAGCCTAAGGCAGAGATGTGCAATCAACTGAATATATTTTCTATGAAGAGATGTGTAAAATATGTATATATATATATATATGCATGTGCTTATTTCCACTACTTAATTAAAGGAATGAGACTGCGCGACGAACCGCAATTCAACACTGGGTGGCTCTTCCAGCATCCGTCTCCAGGAAAATGGGCGGGCGGGCCTGCCAGAATGGAGCCTGTGTACCCTCAGTCTCGGGATGTTCCCCCTTATACTAGCAGCTTAAGAGGGATCATAATAGGGGGTACTATCCCTTAATAGGGGGTACTATAATCCCTATTAAGGGATCAAAATGGGGGGTACTATAATCCCAATTGAGGGATCAGAATGGGGGGTACTAGAATCCCAATTAAGGACTGTTAGTATAAAGGGGAACATCCCGACCTCAGTCATGTACCAGCAGCGACCCTTTAACAAAGTCTGCATCTGGGTCTTTCTCTAAGCACGCCAGCTCGGGCTAACAGCATGCCATCCGTCTTGGGGTAGATCAAAGTTAGGGTTCAGGGTTTAGGATTCATGGGGTTTAGGGTTTAGTTCGTTTCGCACATGCAATCTGTACCCAGACCCACAGCATCCGGGTATCTGACGCCGAAGGAAGGCAGCTTTGCTGCGCACGGCACTGCAGCGCATCAAGATGTTTTGAGTGCTCCGTTGTGTACAAGTTCATCGTGAATCGTCCTAAAACTATCCAGCACTGCGGCGCCATTTCGCCGCCTCCGATCGTTGAGCAAGCATACTGTACAACGTAGGAAATCTCAGGTTCGCCAGCACTTTACCCTTGGCCAGGAAGTCTGAAGTCTTGAATGGAATCTTTTTAGTTGGCAAAGTCCTGGATAGCACTCCAGGCTCTAGGTGCTATTCACCAGCAGGCGATTGGAGGTGCTTTGTCACATTAAGGCGCCATTTCGCCGCCTCCAATCGTTAAGCAAGTATCCTGTACAGCATGAGAGATGCCTCAGATCTGCAGAGCTTTGCTGTCGATTCCGTCACTGAAGCATGTGGCTGCATATGACCTCATGAAGACTTCACGAGTAGGCAAGCAAACCATAAGCAACCGCCCAGAAAGCCAAGGGAGCGCCGCTGGGAATGGCCTCGTTCGCCTCCTGCGCACCGACACCAATCGGAGTGGCCATGCCTGACGTCGTTGAAGGCGGAGTGGCCATGCCTGACGTCGTTGAAGGAGCCGTCGTAGCAGTAGAGTCTTCCAAGGTAGAGGTAGTCGTTGAAGAACCCTCAGCATTAGATGTAGTCGAGAAAGCTGTAGAAGCCCCGGGAGGCTGAATGGCAAAGACTGCGTCTTTGGGGTATTGCCCGGTCAAACTCAGGGGACGCGGACAAGATGTTTTGCTTGGAGGCTGAGCCAGCTCAGGATATTTGCTCAAGAGCTCTGACTCTGGAAGAGTTTCTCGGATCTTGTGGTAAACTTGCACAACAGTCGGAAGAGACTGCGTCCAGGCCTCTGCACAAACATCTATAGTGTTCAGTTCACCACTTGCTCCTCCAATACTGAAATCAGGCGGATTGCCGAATGTGGCGAAGGGGTGGTAGCCGCAAGAGCAGCCTACGTGCGAGGCTTCCTCTTCCTCCACACAGAGGTCCAAGAATTGGCGGTATATGTCCAAATATCGCTCCCCATTAGATCCTTGGCCAAGAAACACTCCATTGCACTCTGCGAGGAAGCGCTGCATCAGCTCGGAGCTACTAGAAAGCATCTTTTGCAAGGCTGACGCTTCAACACGTACTCCATTGATGGCGTTCAACAATTGATCCTGGATATCCTTCGCAGACCCAGTCTGGGTGAGCTTCTTGATGTTGTTGTAGGCTGCGAAGCCTTGACTAGATATGTTTGCTTCAAAAGCAGCCGAAGACACCAGCTCCTGCACTTCCTTGGAAGTGGCCTGAAATCGAATGGTATACCACATCTTGGCTACGTTGAAGATATCCAAGGCAGCCATAAACCTGGCGAGGGTTTGCTCAACATCCTTGAAGGCTTGCGACCACACGTGACATTCGTGGACGCGAGCATCGTTCTTGATGAAAACGCTTGCGGCAATGTGTTCCATAGCGGTGGCATTAAAGCCGAACTCTGGCGTCCCCATCAGAAGTGGCACTGCATTGGTCGAGCCCTCGCAGAAGTCTCTACATGCATCTTGCATGCTCTGCATCCTCATCCCCTCTGGGTTCGCACAAACTCCAAGCAGTGTTGGCAAAGTCCCAATTGGGAAGATGTTGGCATTTCTCATCTTGAAGCTGCCTAACACCAATAACTCTTGGAAACTCGTCAGGCGCATCTTCGCGTTGGAGGCGACGGCCACGACACACCCTTTCATACTCAGCATATGAAGCTCCCAGTTGCAAGCTTGCACTGGCTCCGAGCTGACTCAGTCGATTTTCGGCCTCTTGGACCTGATCCTCTGTTTGCGCTTTGGCTTGGCTACACAAACTTGAGCGACCATCATCCGCATCCAGGATTGGGTTGAAGCCGCAACAACAGCCTATGTGGCGAGAGCCCGTGGTTTCGAAGCAACTTCTTCCGGTCTGGTGACAAATATCCATGATGACCTCATCAGCGGAATTCTTGAACGCCAGTAATTCACCCCCACATTTCTCCACGAGAGCATGCAGCTGCTGATCGACCACTGCCACAAGGTTGTCAGAACTAGTTGTTAACTTGATCAGTGACTCACGCAGCTCATCCGAAGAACCTGTCAGCAGACTTACTTTCTCCTGGACTTTCTCAACCATGACATTAGCCTTCTGAGGACCATTGGCATCATCCATCGCGCGTCTGAAGTCCTCACCCCGGAGATACTCTTGCAAGTCAGCTGAGGCCTTTGCAATACTCGCCTTGAACACCCGTTGCTCTGCCTTGAAAACATAGGTCTGACCAAGTAAATCAACTGCCTTGTCTTCAATGATGTTCAGGGCATTGCGTCGCTCGTCGCAGAGTTCGGCCAAGCTTGAATCATACAAGAAGATCTCGCTTGTGCAGATATCCTTGGCTTGGTCCAGATGCAGACCACGTGGACTGACGCCAACCTGCAAAGCAAGCTTGGCAGCATCACCAGCAGGATTGCAGAAATCCATGCAAGCGTCATACACGGACTGCCCTGAAGAACCAGTGAATATCACGCGACAAAAGGCGAAGTTTTTTCCGGGGTGGAAAGCCACGCGTTCTGGCAGTTCACTTCCAAACAAGCTCGGAGGCTCGCACTGGAATCTTCCTGTCGATGTGGTACTTGTCATCGTAGCAGTGCTCGTCGTGGTACTTGTCATCGTAGCAGTGCTCGTCGTGCTAGTGGGCAAGCAGCGGACTGCAGCAAAGTCCTCATCCAAGCATTCTTGAGGAGGTCCAACACTTTGACAAGCTGTCAATCTCGCCTCAACGCCTACGCAACGCACATGAGTCATGACGGACTGGACTAGACAAGTGGAAGGCGCAACTGGACAAACGATTTCTTTGGGAATATAGTAATACTAACTCATGACGATGATTATTTTACAAATAATACGGGCCTTTTCATACTAATTCTACAACTGTCTGGTGCGGATTCACTACAAGTGCCATATCTACTCATCTTTCGGCACGTACCGTCAGCCGGAAACTCTGCTTCGGGGGCATGCGCCAGTCTCTTGATTGCATCAGGCTAGGGAGATGATGGCCCTAAACCCTAAACCCTAAACCCGAGTCTCCCTGCCCTCGAAGCTTCGGCCCTGGATGCTTCCTCTGCTTTCTGCACAGCTTGGCTTGGGGGCAGGGTCAAAGAGTAGACTCGGCAGTTCCACTGGACATCCCCGGACCCCCTACTTGAAGGTTGATGGGTAGTGAGAAGTAGGCTTATACTTATCGTTACACTATTCATATTCATAACCGTGCCCCATGAACATCCCACAAACTGCAAGGCTCTGCAAGGGTGAGGGGCATCATTCCTCAAGCTCCAGACGGACCTGCTTTGCTCAGCTTGCATTTGCCCCGCCTTGCTTGCAGCGGCCTTCTTGGCAGCTTTTAAGCCTGTGGCATGAGGAGCATCGAAGGAGGAAACTCGGTGTCAGTCGCTCTGGCAAGATGTTGCGCCTTGCTCCTTCGCAAGCTGAAGACCTTCTTCGTAAAGGGGCACGAACTTTCTTCCTGGCGTTCCATACTGCACCAAGCGCCAAGCACTCTGCAAGAAAGCACGGCAGGGACTCTGCACGACACCGTTTTCTTGGCCGCAGGCTCGTTTCATAGCAGGTCGGCGGCGTAGCCAGGATCAATGCTGCAACTTTCTCTGGGGCCTCTCTGTATCTTCTCTTGGTCCGACCGGCAAATCACAACATGAAGCACAAAGAGACCAAGCTATCCACTTCAACATCAACCGCCTGCCTCCAAGGCTGCGTATAAACTGGCTGCAGCGCCCATGCTCGTACCACCCAGAACGACAGGTCGACCCGGCAGCATCGTCTCATGCATGGTGCGCAAATCTGATCCCATAGCCTGCCCGCAGTCTGCTCAGGCATCCTAAGGCGGGGTTTAGGGTTTAGGGTTTCGGGTTTAGGGGCTGATCGAACTGCGACAAGCATGGCACTTGCTCGGACGATCGCTCGTGGCATGCCTGCCATGTGCAAGCATCTGATGCATCTGATTTGCCATGGCCCCTGGCATCATAACGGACCTGCAAAGAGGGGTTTAGGGTTTGGGGTTTAGGGTTTATGAAGCAAACCAAGTCTCACAGAGCCATGGTGGCACCAGAACGAATTTAAGAAGCAGCCCCAGGCACGACCGGTAGTACGTCAGAAAGCTCGGCAACGCCACCGAAAGGCCAGCCACCTGGAAATGTAAGGCAAGGTCGAGAAAGGCACACAGAGACTCTGTTTTGCCAAGAGGTCTACATCTAGTAAGCCAGCGTACAATATTTGTGCCGGAAACCCCCCCCCTCTCCCCTCTCAGTCGCACCTTCGCTTTCGCTCTCCACCGAGCTGGTGAGCCCATGTGTCCAGATCTTGGCTCGCTCAAGTAGGATTCTGGTTCTGAGCATCACAAGACAGGTGAGAGTGGCGCACCAAAGCCATGCATCTTCCAGATTGCTCAGTGCGCCACGAAAGTGCAATCTTTCCGTGCTTTGTTGGTGCGAGTGACCTGAAAGGCGGCAAGGAACTTGATTAAATGAGGAAGGAAGCGAGACAAGCATTCCACCTTGCATTCCAGAAACTATTGCGGCGCCTCAAATCGTAAGGAAAGTGGGCCCGCAACATGCCGAGCGGACCTCGAGCCTTGCCGAACGTTGCTTCAAGCGCCTCTCTCCCATCCGGAATGCTTCAACGGCTCAAGCTGTTGGGGGCCTTGATGTACTGGCAAACTGCCCCGCAGGAGCGCAGGCTTGTAATGCATTTCCTTGGTGCCGGCTTTGAGAGAACCAAAAAAGGATATATTAGCAGTTCAATCGTATTGAACCAATGAAAGCCGGGATGTGACGACAACACAGGCAAGACTCATTCAGGGCATCGCCGTGGTGTACACCATGATGAGCACCCAGCCAGGAAAATCGTCGAACGCTGGATCGCCACATGGCCACTCACAAGTCAGCAAGCAGCTAGAATACAGCGTTAAAACAAAAAAACATGCCCAATATGCGCTACACTGCTAGTACTAGGACTATAGCAGGCAGCTACTCTGCAAGTGCATGCGGACACTGGACAGGAGGCATCGGCCGCATGTGACATGCTCACAGCACTGCCAGCCATGTCAGCTTAAGAGCCAGCTCGGCGAAACCCATGCTACACACAACTTACATAGCCCGGGCCAAAAGACCTGGCATTTTGCCCACTGTGACAATCATCAGCGTTGATACGGTGGCTTGTGGGAGCCTCAGTGGAGGGATTTGGCTCGCTGGTTGCGCCCGCTGCAGAGTGCCTCAGCGGTCAACGGGCACTACAGAAGCTTGAAGATCCTGAAGGCTCATGGGTAGTTATAAGTGGGGTTGCAAGTACCTTCTATGAGGTAGCGACCAGTCATGAGTCTAGTTTTCTTACTGAATCTTACTTCTAACCCCACTTATAACTAACCCATGAACCTCCAAGTACCCGTGAGGGAAAGGTGAAGGGATGAGGGATCGAATTGCTTTAGAGCCGCGGCATGGTTGTTGTCGGTGGGGGCGCCACGAGGAAGGGATCCGTAGTATGCCTCAATAGCAAAACACAATCCTAAGACGGAAGTTGAAGGGAAAAGCTTTGCGGCCCAAACCCTTCTCTTTGTCCGCAACAAACGACCTGCGCCGCCGACAAAGCTGAGCCTCAAGGGCAGTTCACCGACTACCATTTTTATTGTTATTAACATCCTTTTTCTTGCTACTATTGTTAGTATTCTTGTTAGTATTATTACTATTATTGCAACTATTAGTATTCTAGTTTTATCATAGTTGTTTTTTATCAGTCGCAGCTCCTCTGCCAGCTGAGCCTGAGGTTGGGGCCCATTTTTCAAACGCAGCAGAACCCGCTTTACCAGCCTACCTCTGACCGCATGTGGTGAGTGCACTGAGGGCAGACTCGCACTGCGAAACTAGGGGAAGGATGAGGACAGCAACAGAACCTCCACTTCTGAACAAGCTCTGAACATGGTGCATTTTGGGCAGTGCTGCTGGCGGCTGGTGGAACTAAAAAGGTTTCCGATCCATCGCCAGTTTGCATTAGGCTTCTCCCACCTTTGAACCAACTGCGTGCGGCGACAGGGATTTAGGGTTTAAGGTTTAGGGTTTAGGGTTTAGGGTTTAGGGTTTAGGGTACAGCTGAGAGCATGGAGGCAGGAGGCCATGTGGGGGTTTCCGAAAGTTTAATCATTAGGGTTCCTTCAACGGACTATGCCCCTGTTTTCGGAAATCCCCCATACAGAAGCCCTCTGGAAGCAAGCATGTGTTCCCTTTTTGTGAAGCTGAGGAAGTCCCGGTCTGGGTTCGAAGGGTCGGCTCAGTGAAAGGGTTCTCAGTTGTTCCTGGACAAGTCCTTCTGTCGGACAGCGGGCATGAGTTCCGCGCGGCCTTGCGTCCAATCTTGCAAGTCATAGTGGGCGTTTCCCTTTCTGCCTGAGTTTGCGCAGGCCGCGAAAACTTCACACAGCGAGCCACCAAGCGAATGCCCTGTGCATGCCACGCTTTGGCACTTTGCCAGCTTCGGCCGCAGCTTCGGCATGCTGTACTTCATGAGCCAGTAGAGCTTGTCAGAGTAGCCTCCATGAACTCCGTCAAACCCACAATATGTCTCCGTGTTTGGTCGCAGATTCACCTCGAACTCCTGCACCGAATGGGTTCCTTCGAACACCAGCATGCAGTTCCGAGTCTGCTCGCTTTGTACAATCCAAATGTTGTCGACTGCCTGCAAGGTGTCCTGCTGCCTGCAAGGGACCCTGAACCAGCCCCCAGCAAGGCTCACATATACCTAAACCCGAAACCCTAAACCCTAAAACCCTAAACCCTAGACCCTAACTAAAGACTAAACCCCACTGTCTGGAAAAAGAGCCTTGCCCCCCAACACAGACACTAGAATGAACCCAAATGGAGTCTGTGTAGGGTTTGCGCATTGGTCTGCAGACCTGCCCACCCCCAGACTGCCCACTTGCAGCTCTCGTGGAGTTAAGGCCTGTATTTTGCGTTTACAAAGCAACATGTGGGGTTTTGTCGCAAGGCCTTTGCCTTAAGGTGGGCATTAATCAGTGTTCACTCGGGCCCCGCTTACGGGGAAGACAAAACAAACACCCAGCTTGATCGCAACAGAAAAGCATGAAATGTAATGAAGCCTCAGGAAAACCACTAACGCGGACTTATTCCACTTTGCGATTCTGCAGAGAAACGCAAGATAGGGCGAAGGATCAAATGGTTTAGGTTTGGATAGGTTTGCGCGTCGGGTACCAGAAACAATGTCCTTGCGAACTTTAGGCCTTAAGATGGCCTTAAGCTCAGGAGATCCTCCGTCACTTGCACCCCACCCCAAACAAGCTGAAACCTCAACACGCCCAACGTCTGCCTGCACAAGGCGAATGGGCATCTGCTGGCAAAAACGAAAGTTGCCAATTAACCACTAGCGCGTAGCAAGCGCGTCACTAGTGCAAAATTCTACAAGCCCTTCTCCCAAGGCATCCTATGACACAACATACTTCGATTATACTTATGTACTTTGTAAGCGCGAGGCTATGGCTAATCTAGCACCACAGTGGGGTTTCATGTGCACACACTCGGGACCCGCATGGACCCGCTTCATAACGAAGAGGGCAAAACCTGATCCGAACACAATAATGGCCACGTCTATCTTGATTCCTTTTTGAGGCCCTTTTTGACGAAACCCCATGCACTCTTGCTGCACGGGGGTTTAGACGAACTTGATATGAAATTCCTGGGTCACATGGGACACTCGGGTTACCTGGGTCACTCGGGGCACTTGTGTCACTTCCAGTGGCGTGAGCCATCTTAGGGCACACTTGGGTCACATAGGTCACTGACACTCAAGACATTCGTAGGTGTCACTTGGGCCGTTTGGGGCACACGTGGGGTCGGACGTTAAGGTCATTTAGGCACACTTGGGCCATTTCAGTTCCTTTGTGATACGCAAGAAACTTAGTCGGGGCACTTGGCTCACTTCACAGATGCCTCACAGGTCTTTTTTTGGAGCCTCTTGACTTGCTAGCGCCGACAGGTGGGCTCGGCCACTTGGGGCGGATCAACTGCGCGGACGGGCGGGGTCGGTCATCGAAGCCCTGCCTAGCGGGTCGTTTTGAGGGACAACAGCGGACAGGTGGGTTCAACCATTTGGGACAATCAAATTGTGCAGCTGAGAGGTGGGCTCGGTCACGCCACAAGGGGCCCAAAACCCCGATAAGGGGCCTTCCAGGGGCTGCTTCGGGGCCTTGATTTGCTGATCAATGCCAATGAATCGTTTTGAGGGACAAGCTGCGCCGACAGGCGCGCGGGCGGCCAACTGCGTGGACAGGTGGGCTCGGTAATTTGGGGCGCCGAAGCGTGAGAGACCAACTGCCCGCACACACAGTCAGGCATTTGGGGCAGATCAACTGCGCGGGGCTCGGTCATTTCGGGCGCTGGGTCATTTCGGTTGGCTCTACCCAGGAAAATTCTTGGGTTGTTAGAAACATGCCAGGGCCCTCGAGGATTTTCAGGAATTCAGAAACCTCCCAGGGCACAGAACAACGTGCGCGGAGAATTTCAGTGACAACTGCTGACTCGGCCTGTGCCTGCCTTGAGGGTAAGCCAGCGCTCGAGTGGGTTGGCGGGGGGTTTGGGTTTAGGGTTTAGGGTTTAGGGTTTAGGGTTCAGGGTTCAGGGTTCAGGGTTCAGGGTTCAGGGTTCAGGGTTCAGGGTTCAGGGTTCAGGGTTCAGGGTTCAGGCTTTAGGGCTTAGGGTTTAGGGTTTAGGGCGGTTTGTGAAGCCAGATGTCAACCGAAGTCGAAATCACCGTGCTTGGGGACTCTTGGCGGCCAGGGGGGAGGAGCTCAGAGGACGAGCACAAGCATGCATGAGGCTCAGGATTTCTAGATGAGAAAGTCTTTGTGACATCTATTTGACACTGAAAACTGTGCTCCCCACAACGATGCGGAAGCAGTATGTGGGCACGCATCAACACACCAGCCACTCTGCTTGGATAAAGATCAGCAGGCGAGCACCTGGAACAAACTGCTACAAGGCAGCAGAGGTGCTCATGGTGCACTAGCCGCCAGCCCATGAGCTGCTGGTGAATCAAGTCCTCCATGCGCACTGCCTGCTGCCTGTGCTTTTGAAGTTGGTTCTGTTTCTCAGTTTTTGAGAAGGAACTACGAACTCGGCTTGCGTATTCTTTCAGAGCAAGTTTCGTCTCCCAGTGCTTCTGCTTCTCATAGGCCCCCCAGGCGAGGTTCGCAAACTTGTACGCACTGGCCTTAAACTGAGGTTGTACCATCCAGATGAGCGGTGCTGAAGGAAAGCACGCCGTCTATCTCTTGGCACGACCCCGAAACCAAGAATTTGCTAATGAGAGTTCGAAGCTGCAAACAGGGGCATCTGGGAAGCATCTTTTCCATGTAGCTGGAGGTGTTGCAGGCGAATAAAGTAATGTTTCATGTCCTGGGCTGATGATATCCAGGAGTGCTACACAAGAGCGGACATCAAAGCTGGTCACGTTTGACGTGAGAGATTTGTTTCTACTCACCATTTCCCAGCTCTCAGCTCGATCCTATGAATGGTCTTTCTGCAAGAGCAAGCCAGCACCCTCTGCTAAAATCCGTTGAACATCCCAGGCCAGGCCTACTTGAAGGTTCATGGGTAGCTGTAAGTAGGGCTCTAGCTATACTGTTCACGCCTAATTTAGGGTACTTGTAACTTCTAACTTAAAACTTAGAAGTACCCGACAAAAAGGCTTTAACAGGGGCCCCCCCTGCTGACGTGGCTCATGGAGGTCGACCGACGGCATGCGCATCGCCTTTCTGTGGCAAGGGGTGCTACCCTAAACCCTAAACCCTAAACCCTAAACCCTAAACCCTAAACCCTAAACCCTAAACCCTAAACCCTAAACCCTAGACCCTAGACCCTAGACCCTAAACCCGAAAAGCAGAAATTGTGAATTCACCGCGGCCTCCGTGCCATGCCTAGGGAGATCCGGTCGGCCTGCTCCCGGGTAGAACCTGAGAGGTTAAGGGAAGAAGGGAAGAAGGGAAGAAGGGAAGAAGGGAAGAAGGGAAGAAGGGAAGAAGGGAAGAAGGGAAGAAGGGAAGAAGGGAAGAAGGGAAGAAGGGATGCGTACACCCTCTGACATACACCCCAAGCAACATCAGTGGAAGGGGCAAAGTTGCAGAACTAGACTAGACTGCTCGTCGACTACAAGCACAGCAGGCTGCATCAACGAATGCACGGCGTCAACCTGCCAGGGGGCTCTGAGTCCTTGTTCAAGTGAAGCGCCAACGTCGCAACCTGGCGGATCAGATGTCATGAGGCTGCGCAGAGTGGCGAGAAAAACCCATCAGCACAAATTTCAGACCAGACAAGCAGCTCTGCCTTGGGGTGCATGAGCAAATTTAGATCTGAGCCGGCGTCTGTCTGCCGCGCGAAGGACATGTACACTGTCTCTGTGTAGCACCGGACCCCTGCAAAGGCGCGCGTCGGCTGCGAAAGATCCTCCAAAGGCTCCTTGCTCGTGGCCACTGCCCCGTAGGTGAAGATGAAGGAGACCTTGCTCTGAGACCTGTTGGCAGAAGCCTCGAAATCTTGGTAAACCTCATCCTGTGCCTGCGCGCCTGAGCGCAGCTGCAGAGCCGTGAAGCTGCAACTCTGAGTGGCATTGCACTCATCGTCAAGCTCCAGCACTCCGGGGTCTGTTGAGGGCGCAAGGTGCACCGCGCATGCTGCGAAGAAGAGCCGGAGCATGGCGGAAAGAAATATGGAAAACAAGAAAAATCTCACCCCCCCCACCCCTTCTCGCTTTGAGCAAAAAAGTCGCCGCTTGTGGAACAAGGAGTGCAGGCAAGCTACCTGTAATGCACACAGTCTACTATTTGCTTAAGAACCCCCTAGAAAATACAGACAAAATGCTAATCCCCGTAGTACCCTTGTACAAGTAAGGAAGAGTTTTTGTTTTTTGGGGGGTTCTTAAGCGAATAGCTGCGGCTGCCTTCCAACTGATTGACACAGATTTGTCACCCAGAGCGCATTAACACATGCAGCACAGGTGGCTGGAAGCAAACTCCCGTCTCCGCAATCATGAATTTGGTGCATTCATTGACCCGCACATGACGAAGAACCTGCAACGAGAGCATTCTCAAACACCATCGGGTTACTTGGCTACCAGCAGCAAACGCAGTCCCTGAGCAGCTGTCTTTTCCGGCGCACCTCTCTTGTATGTCCTAGCAAGCTCTGCATACCTACAGGAAGACAAACTAGCCAGCACGTTTGTGCCAAAACCTGTCTCACTCATCTGGCTCAATGGGTTCTTCGGTCAGAGCTGGCCGCGCTCCATCCGCCAAAGCAGACTTGTCAGCATTTTCAAAGAGCTTGAGGGCTTTCTTCGCTGCATCTCGCACTTCCTCAGAGACATCATCCTCGAGCGCTTGCACCTCCTCCTTGAAGCAAGCACCACGATATCCCATCCGAGCAAGCGCTTCACAGGCTGCCACCTGCACGGCTGGAGTGATCCCCTGGTATGTCATGCGGCACACATCCGGAGCGAACATCTGTCCAATCTCCCCACACTTCGCCACAGCCCGAAGGGCTTCAGCTTGTACATTCCAAGCCCTGTCACCAAACAAGGCCACAAACATCTCCACGTGTGAATGGGCCTCGTCACCCATCATACCAAGACCTTGGACCGCCCGAGCCCGTACGGTCGGGTGGGGATGTTCCATGAGCTCAGCGACCACCCGCGCAGTTGAGTTGTTGGCCTCGCCAGTCGCTGCCGCGATCTCGCCAACAGCCAAACAGGCCGCTGCCGCGACGGGTGGTGCTTCATCCCGCAACATGTCTGCGATGTGATACTCATACCGAGCACTTGCTGCCGGCATCCTGCTCAGTGCGTGCAAAGCTGCTACCCGCACCTCCCAGTCTTTGGCATTCAAGCACTCGACTAATCTCGCTGCAGAGGTAGCACCCGCACTGCCCATGTTAGCAAGTGCCGCAGCTGCGGCACAAGCTGGCTTGCGAAGCAGAGCTGCCAGTTTGGGCGACACGCCCGCGACAGTCAGCGGCAACGTCGACGAGTCCTCGCCATCATTTCGGAGTGCTTGCTCCAAGGCCGGGATCTGGGCTGCCGCGCTTTCTCCGATACCACCAAGGGCAGCTGCTGCAGCGGCAACAACTCCCGGGTTCGAGTCGGAGAGGAGCTTGCCGGCTGGCACTGCTAGGTCTGCCACCTTTGGGCCAAGTCTACAAGCATAGTCAGCGGCCCCCAGGCGGACATAGCTGTCTGAGTCGGACAGGAGTGGCACTATCTCGGAGGCGAAGCTTTCGGCACCAGTCATGCTCTTGAGCGCGTTGACCGCAGAAGATCGAACACGAGCATCTGAATGCTTCAGCAGCTTGCCGACATCCTGTATGTGAGAATCCATCTCCGCCAAGCTCATGCAGGCAGCAAAGACTACATCCGTGTCAGAGCTCGCCAGCTTCGAGCTCACTGCATCTGCACAGCTGGCTGCTCGCATCTTGCCAAGCGCAGAGCAGGCATCAACAACAAGATCGAGGTCTTGATGGGTTAAGAACGGCTGGACTGACTGTGCATGCGAGGCTGCACCTGGGCCCATGGACCCCAGCGCCAGCAAAGCGGCCCTCTTGACCTCCTTTGCTCGACTTTGCTCAAGCTTTGTGGCTACAAGCTGTGCATAGTCGAGGGATCGGCCCTGCAATTCGCTCAAGGCCACTAGGGCATGCTCTTGAACAGCTGCGTCGCTGTCACTCAGCATGGGGACCACGGACTGTTCGATATCTCGTTTCGACATCCGCTTGCCCATCCTCCCGAGCTCCCGCAAGGCTCCACATCTCGATTCCACCCTCTCGCTCTTCAAGTTCCTGGACACGAGATCCAGGGGAGTCTCATGGTTTTGCATCGCCAGGCTTGCCATGGCGTCTACCTCTAGGAGGCATTGACTACAGGGAGCCCTTTTTGAAGAGCTACGGCCGCAGCAATGTGCCTGGCAGTCACTGTCGTACCGACAAGCCATCATGCTGTGCATGCACCCCACATACTCCACAACACAGCACAGCATAGGCACAACCTTGTGTGTAACATCCGCAACACACACACACACACACACACACACACCTCACAAGCCAAGGCGCCAATAGGGGTTCCAGCTGCGCCCCCCCCCCCCCCCGGTTCAAGTACAGCCGGCTTGGGCCCATGGCAAAGGTCTCAATCTCTCACACTCTCGGAGAAGCTGACATGCCGGACATGCCATCCGACCTGAATGATAGCAGCCGATCGCCAGTTTCTTGCAGATGCATCTTCCCATGTGCGTGCACTTTGGCATGCCTTCACCTGCTTGTGCAGGTCAAGAGAACAGTTGAACAGCCAGTCCGGCGACAACTGCAGTATAAAATATCTTGCTGTTTACAGCAAACTGCTCCGTTGGATGCAAACAGCAATGTCTATGGTCAAGAGATGTAGAGGCAAGCGAGCACGCCAAACTGACTACACTGGAGTACGAAGCGGTTATGTGATAATACAAATACTCACGCTTGACCTCGCGACTTCTTCCGCAGTACCGCACCGCACTTTCAAAAGGTGGGTCAGACAAAACTTTCGACCATTCATGGTCATGACCTTGCCCAAGACTCTGTTGAACGCTGCGCATGCGCGCAATGATGCCTCACGCTGCGCTCCTTATGGGGTCGCTTGGAGCGACTTCAGACTGACAGATCAAGGTTGGGATGCTCCCCCCCTTCTACTGACAGTCCTTAATAGGGAATTGTGGTACCCCCTAAAACACAAACAACTCAACTGCTGTTAAGGACTGTTCAGAAACAGGGTGGAACGTCCCAAGATCAAGGGCAGGTTCCTGCGACCGAGAGTCAACAGCGGACGTCTTGCTCCCAGTGCTTCGGCGCTTCCCGAGCCCCGGCGTCCGCAGTGGCCGCAGGCCCAAACAGCCGCCAAGGTGGCCTGAGAGCGCGCGGGCCGCGCGATGGTCCATGGGGACGCTTAAGAGATTCTTGAGCTGCGGCCCCTATTGGGTGTAGGGTTTAGGGGGTGTTGGGTTTAGGGTTTAGGGTTTAGGGTTTAGGGTTGAGGGTTGAGGGTTGAGGGTTGAGGGTTGAGGGTTGAGGGTTGAGGGTTGAGGCTTTAGGGTTTAGAGTCTATTGTTTAGGGCTTCATACTGTGGCCCCCGGCGAGTCCAGTCACCAGAGACTGAAACGCCAAGAGAGGGATCAAGCCGACCGAGGCAAGGTCGCCTCCCATGCCGCTTCCTGGAGGCGTCAACACGCAAAAAAACCACAGGGGGGGGGGGGGGGGGGGGGGGAAAAAAAAAAAAACTCCCCAAATTCAGAGATGTGCACCCTATCAACCCTAAGCCCCTAAAAAAACTAGACCCCTATAGAACCACCCCCCAAAACCCCCGACATCCTGTACACCCTAAAGCCCCTGAAACCCTCAACCCGGCCCAGGCCTGAAGTGCTTTCAGACATGGCAATCGGGGCCATCCGCCCGAAGCGGCCACCAAATGCCAGGAGCGCCTCCTCGCAAGTCCAGGAGGGCAGGTTGAGGGGCCTTAGGGGCTTCGGGGCTTAGGGTTCAGGTTCAAGTTTAGGGTTTACAGCGTTTCAGGGGCACAAGCGTTCCATAGTCGCCGCGACCGCAGGTCGAGAAGATAAGTTCCCTTTCTGTGAGGCGCGCTGGCAGAAGGGGGGCCGTAAAGCCCCAAAGCAGACCCTCTGACACTGGCACTGCCACAAGATTGGGACTTACATCATGTCCTGTGTAATCTTCGGTGCAATGTTCATACGGCATTCATCTGCGTGTGGGGGAAACACGGGAGGACCTCTTTGTCCCTTTTGCTTCGGAAGAAGACCCTGGCCAGGACTGAGCAGCCCTGCCGGCACACGCAAGGTCAGCCCCTGAACAGCTTTCAAAAGCACCGGCCGAGGCGGGCAGGCGCCAGCACTAGTCACTACCTTAAGAACCCAAAACCTGCTTTTTTGTAGGTTCTTCTTATAAAGCCCCTTATCGGATTCTTAGGTGTCCTACAAAAAAGTAGGTTTTGGGTTCTTACGGTACGGTGATGGCGACATTCTGGCCGGATCCTCACGCAGAATCGCGGCAATGGTCTTAAACTGTGGCGTGCCCACTCCACTGGCAGCATCCCAGCCTGACAGACACAGCTATGGGATTGCCTCTCACATGCCTCTGGAAGCTGCTTTTTCAAGGTGATCCCTCTCAATGAACTATAACTTATATAACTGTTCTGTTGATGAAAAAATCAGGGGCGGAGAGCCCGAAAACTCTGTCACTCCAGCGCCTCGGGCTGCGCGGAAGCCGACGTCGCAGCAGGTGGACCTTGAGCAGCGGTTGTCTCCAATCTGCACGTCATTGAAGGCGCTGGGGTGCTTGGAGAAGATCTGGTAGATCAGGGGGTTGAGGAATCCCAACGGGGGCAGTCGGTTCATGAGGCGGTCTTCGTTCCAGCGTGCTACCATGGCAGCAATCAGTGGGGTCGAGGCGGAAGTGCCGGAAGTCGGTTGCAGGTCATCGCCCATCAGAACCTTGGTAGCCCAGCAGCCATATTGCAATAAGGGCACCCCTTTTTGGGGCTTGGTTACTTGATAAGGGAACCTTGAACCGAAAAAAGGGGAAAAGGGGCACCTCTGGGCTACCAAGGGAAAAAAGGGCGCCCTTCTTTTGGGTTGGCTACTTACTTTACAGGGGAACCTTGAACCAATTGCTTTATAACAAGGGAACCTTGAACCTTGCTTTATCATAAGGGAACCTTGAACCAAACAAGGAAAAAGGGCCCAAGGAACGAGGTAGTTGCTGGAGATGGCTGCCAAGTCTGGGTAGGCGCGGCCGGATCGGTTAAACTTCAGCACATCCTGGTCGAGGGACTGATGGAGGGATCCTTATAAGGGACCTTCGGGGTCATTTAGGGGGTTCTTTAGGGGAGGTATGTATTCAGGGGGTGATATAGCGGAATAAGATGAAGGGCCCCTTCTAGGGGGTAAACCCTAAACCCTAAACCCTCAACCCTAAACCCTAAACCCTAAACCCTAAACCCTTAGACCCCTTACTCCTGGTCTGGCACTGGGCCATCCTCTTGGTTCAGGTAGTGCTCCACGGCTTCATGCTGGTACCACCTTCAAGACCAAAATTGAACCCGAAAATTGGGGGGGGGGGGGGGTCATTGTACCCTGTACTACGATTAGGGTTTAGGGTTTAGGGTTTAGGGTTTAGGGTTTAGGGTTTCGGGTTCAGGGTTTAGGGTTTAGGGTATACTTCTTATTGAGGAAATTGGGATCACATCCCGTAATACGACTACAATTCTTGTTAAGTGTGTATGTGCCATGAACCCTTTTGAGCCCAAGGCACGGACGTGGGAAGTCGGCGGAGAAGCCTCCCCCAGAGGTGATTCCACCACCCTTGTCGGACGTGCACACCACCTCTCCATCTTGGGGACACTGTACAACTACCTTTCCAGATGTGTAGCCGCAGACCGGGACATTCTCCTAGTTCATGGTTGGGATCATAGTAAAAAAACCTAATTGTGTGTTCCTTATTCGGTTTAAGTGCTCTTAAAAGTGTAAAATGTTACCCACTTTTGGCAAAGTCTCCTGAGCAAGCTGGGTGCCGCCAACCGCAGTAACCCACGGAGAAGAAGAAGGGAACTCCTCGCGGTTGGTCCCGCAATACTTCTTGCCATACTTGGCCACGAAGCCTCCACTGACACCATCATCGCCACTGGCCACAAGAATCGTGATGCCCCTCAAGGCCAGCTTCATGAACTCCGCATTGATGCGCTGCTTGAACCACAAGGGCATGGTCAGCGCGTCGTCGCTGTAGGACACGGAATGAACCAGGGGCATCTCCTGATCACTGGTGTCCTCCAGCTGCATGAGCCAATCCAGAAACGGCTCCTGTCCTGGGATGGCCCTAAAGCCCTCTGAGAAATAATATTTCCCAAATAAGAGTCTTCCTAAACCCAGAATGGGAAAATCTGAGAAATACTCCTAAATATAGTCCTCTTACATAAACCCAAAGAAAAGGAAGACATAAAAGATGTCCCAAAAAGGGCCGGCCGAGCGTCTTGTGGCCAGCTCAATAGATGGAACGCTCCAAAAGAGCGCCGAGACATTGGAAGCCAAGGCGGTGATGTATTGGATGTCAAGCTGAGCCTCTCCTGGCTTAAACCCTAAACCCTAAACCCTAATTGTTCTGCGTAGGGACTGAGGAATTTTGGGTGCCCTACATAATCCCTTAAAGGGTATATACAAGGGCAGAGAATTCTTTCATTCCCCAACTAAGAACCAAAAAGGGTTCTCCTCCCAGAACGGACCCTGCCATCGGCAGGTTCTCGCCGATCAGTTGAAGCTTCTCTTTCGTGCTCCATGCACGTACGCCCATGAGCTTGAAGAAGGATTCGAGGTCCTCTGGGTTGTAATATTGGCCAAGGAACTCTGCGACGGAAATGCTGTTCCGAGGATGGCGAACAGGTTCGTGCATGGGAATGCCATAGTTGCGCGAGAGCAGAGCAGGGGTGGTATACGCCATAGGCCAGACAGGAAGAACCTCATCAGCCTGGCTGAAATCTGAAACTGAGCCGTCACTGAACAGGGAGCGTATTCTCACTGTGGTACTCGCATAGTTGGCGACGCTTCCCAGCGTGGCATTAAACTCCACACAAGGCTTTCCATCATCCGTCCGCCCCACCTTCTGGCCAAGGACATCAGGAACTGCTGGAAGTCTGACAACCTTTTGCGTGTTGGTTTGTGCTTGTAGGACAATGATGTCAAAAGCGGTGATCAGAACAGAATGGGGGCTGCTGGTGCAAACGCCATCCTCAATGCTGTCCTGATTCACGAAGTGATCTTTGCAGTACGCAACAAAGTGGATGCTGACAAACTGGTCCCCAGCAAGGAGGAAGGGGCGCACCCTCGGGGCTTTTCGACCTGACTTGGGGTACTTGAAGGCCGACTCCGTGCGCTGCGTTGGGTGAGGCGGCATGAAGAGGGGTGCATTCAGCGATGTGCCTTCCAGCGCTCTTTGCATTTCAGCTGGCAGTCGGATTGGCTCCGATGCGCGGATGGGAGTGGTGCCAGGAGCCACAGGGCCTTTCTGTATCGTCAAGCTCGTATTGAACACCTTTTCAATGCAGCGTATCGTGCATGTGTATCGGGCAAAATCTCCGCCATAGGAGAACTGTAGGGTTCCCGGATGTGGGGCAAAGAACTTTTTGACAAGGTCCACATCATATTTCCAGGGCCCGGAGATGCCATAAATCTCATCCCTCTCCAGGTACCGGCCATATTCCCGATTTCCGGGATCGGAAACTGCTTTGGCCCTGCTCTCTAGCAGATCAAGATTCCGCTGGCGCAGCGCCAGCAGCACGATGATGCCTTCGCAGCTGAGAGGAGATCGTTCAGCCAAATAACAAGAGACTAGAAGGCCGCGGTTGTTGCTGCGATTCTGATTGCTATTGCTATCACGATTCCTATTCCTGATACTCTCGCTCTTGCTCTTACTCTTACGCTTTCCCTTACGCTTACTCTTACTCTTGCTCTTGCTCTTACTCATTCTTACACTTACGCTTACCATTACGCTTACTGGCTTACTCTTACTCTAATTCTTACTCTTCCTATGGCTGCTACTGCTACTGCTACTCCTACTACCAACAACACTACTACTACCACTACCACTACCACTACCACTACTACTACTACTACTACTTCTTCTTCTTCTTCTACTACTTCTACTTCTACGTCTACTTCTACTTCTACAACTTACGACGACGACGACGAAACTGCTGTTACAAATTACTGCTACTGTGCCTTGCATTTGTACTACTCCTACTACTCCTCCTCCTCCTCCTCCGACTTCTCCTACAACTACGACCACCGTGACGACGACGACGACGACGAAGACTACTGCTGCTACTATGCTGCTACTGCTGTACGCAATTACAAAACAGTGCAGGGCCAGGCGTCTGTTCTCCTGGTCTGCACGTGCTCCATGCTGCCACCCCGGCTGTGAGAACGCCTCCCACCTGTCGTCACCAGCTGTCAAAGCCTTGCATCAAGTACAAGTAGCATCTGAAAGCTAAGATAGAATAATACTATGCTACACTTCTGCAAGCATACATGTACATAGCCCCTGCTTTTGTGATCGTGAACACTGGTGTAAAGTCCTTCCTTATGCTCAGCATGTTCTGCAGCCAGAGGGCCCAGCGGAGAGCCAGGACCAGGATGACTTTATCCAGAACAGCCATCTTTCCACACGCAGCCATGCGACCCTGCTACTGCAGTCTCCCCACTCTACACGGTTGAAAGAAGGACAGTGTATGCTTCTCATCCCTGTGAAGGCTTGCAGCAGCTTCCAGCAGAGTACCAAAAACGGCTGCAAAATTTCAAGGCCTCAACCGAACTGCCCCGACTTGAGAAGTGACATTATAGGACAGCCTTGAGTAGAAGACAGCTGTTTTTCAACTTCTCTCCGGCATAATGAGGTCCGTCATGCTTTGGCACGAACGCGCGCGCGTGACAGAAGCGACCCTAGCTCATCCTGTCAGCTGATGGCCTGGAGCCAAAAGCATGACAGGATGCGGCACATCCTACAGCTCTGCTAAGCAGAGCTTCGAGCATCAATCTGCCTTTGGCAGATGTGACATAATGATAAGTGGGATTGATAAGACAACACTCTCAGCACAAGAACCTTAAGCGCCGCTGATGCTAAGGTGGACCGAGAATCATCACTAGGTCTCAGCATGTCTCATCTGTGCTTTCTTTAGCCGCCTCCCTCACTTCCTCAGCCCAAGAGAACTTGACCTGGCCAGTTCTATGCAAAAGGCATGCTAAAGTGCATGCGGTAAGCTGGGATGGCCGAAATGGGTATGCAGCATCTACTCTGCGAAGTTGACATTGCTCCGAGCACACGGCCTGCGACTTGAGGAGAGGGCGGCAATGAGTGGCTGGCGCTGTTTGCGGCTTGAAGTGGGACTGGTATGTGGTCCTCCAGGAAAGACATGGCAGCTTCTGCCAGCTGTTCAACGTCAGCCGAGCCCCTATCCTGAACAAGCCCTTCGCGTGGCCCGCTGCAGCAGGGCCAAGGTGATCCTGGCGTTGAGAAGCCACGCGCCATCGTCGAATTATGTTGAGCTTGTGTAGTAGGGTTGACAGGACGGGTTGCAGCACACGGTCCTGGATCACAGGGCGTGAGGTCGTCTCAATCAAGTCCAGCGGAAGCTTTCCGTGGCTGCTGTGGGCAAGCGAACTGTCAGGCGGAGGAACCAGGATGAACTGTCTATGAACTAGGAAGACTACTGCAATGAGATCGATTCCTCGCCGCTCACGTTCTGAAAGGAGACACAACACAACCCTGCGCCTTGTCTCTGAGCTTTTCGCAGAACCGAAGCCGACGGAGTCTTCCGCCCTGAACGAACCAGAGTTAAACGGCAGAGCATTTGGGGGCTTACGACAATATAGGGGACCCCAAAAATAGTCCACCAAATAGCAATTGAAGAGTTTGCCATCAAGGCTCCTTCTGTCAGCTGCCGGCGTGCATGGAGGCTGGCGTCTGGCAGGGTTGAAGGTTGCCGACCCGCACGCATTTGCGCAGTGCATGTCTCCAGCAACGGAAGGAACCGTTAGAGAGCCCTGGAGAAGCGTAGGTTTCCGGCGCGTGCCGCTGCTCGTGCCGGCTGAAAGCCCCAAATGCCTCTTTCAGAAAGCTGCCGCACTCGCAACATCGGTCAGCCGCAGGCTTCCGCGACAGAATGGGCCTCGGCATATGAGCTCTTGACGCTCGGAATGGGTGCCGGCTTCTGCGAGGACCTCGGTCGGCACAGGGGTATAAGGAGGGTAAAGGCGGGGGTAACGGGAGCATAAGGGATTCAAACGAACTTTCTTCACACATGGCGCGCCTATTTGCGTCACGGAAGGACTCGGCCAACTGGCGGTTAACGCCTCGGAGCGCAAAGCGCTCAACATCCCGGACCCGAAGAATGCTAAAGACTGGGATGCGCGCTGGCGCCAAGAAGAGGAGCCTCGCGGAAGTTGGAGGTGTACTCGCACATACTTCGCTGAGCCCTGCCGAGCAGTTCCAGAGACAACTAAGAACCATCCGCTCTGAGATCTGCAGGCGATTTAGGGTTTAGGGTTTAGGGTTTAGGGTTTAGGGTTTAGGGTTTAGGGTTTAGGGTTGCCAGGCAATGCTCAGCACTCTCTGCACAGCACCATGGACACTCCAAGACAGCGACAGCTCGGCGACTTTTTGTGGGACTCCAGCATGTATTGTACCTGCAGACGTATACGTCTAAGTGGCCGACATGTCGGAAAACTGCAAGTCTGAGAAGAATGTGGCAGGGGTAAGTGCTGCACGCTTCTGGCCAACGTAAAGGATCTGACCCAGGCCCTGACTACCTGAGATTCAGGTACTCTTATGGGGATTTTACTAGGGTTCTTCCAGGTGGGGATATTTGGGCTCTGAGGGTTCTGAGGCTTCACAAGAGCATCTCATATGGTATTAGGGATATGAGGGTTCTTCGAAGCTTTTGGGGTTCTTATAGGGCTCTGAGGAGCAGCCCGAGGATGCCGCTGTATTTCAAGCAGCTCCGCGGGGCAGGATGCCGCTGGCCGGCGAAAGACTCTTGACCTCACCAGGCTCAAAACCTACTTTACCCCCATCCCAGGGTCTAGGATTTAGGGTTTGGGGGTTGCTTCGGGTGTCGGGTGTAGGGTTTAGGGTATATTTAGGGCAGTTTCTGCCATGTCCTGCTAGTTGTATCAGACTGGCAAGTTGTATCATTATATCTGGCCAGGCTTATCAGAAGCCTTCGCCAGGCTGACCCTAAACCCTAAACCCTAAACCCGACAACCATAAAACCCTAAACCCTAAGCCCTAAACCCTAAACCCTAAACCCTAAACCCTAAACCCTAAACCCTAAACCCTAACCCTAAACCCTAAACCCTAAACCCCAAACCCTAAACCCTGTGGTCGGGACTGGTGCTTCGCAAGAAGAGCTTTCGGTCGGTTGGCGGCAGGGATTGCACCTGGATCGTCAGCTTGTTCAACTCACAGCATTTCCATGGCAAAAGGCAGCTGATTTAGGGTTTAGGGTTTAGGGTTAAAGGCAGCTGAGGCGTGAACAGCGGCCGCCGGGGCGATACCAGTGGAGACATTCTTAAACGACGGTCGGACCATTGTTGCAGAGAAGAAGTCCCGCTGTGACAGTCACGTGTTTTCTGTGTATTGAGAAAGATTCCTAGGAAATTTTTAACGGCCCTGGCGCCATTCGTCACCCGATGGTTCTTGTCTGCTCATGACTGTTCATGCTTGTCAGTAGGGCCTAAACTGCGAGTCGTAAGTCCAGGGCTGTGGGTTTTGTGGAAGCGCTGGGAAATTCACCACCCCTTTGAGGCTTAAGTATCTACCATCAGGGTACATGGAGCCTTTGGGTTAGAGGTCCCCCAACAAAAACACGACACCCATATGACAAGGACCTTTCAAGGGGCCCTCATTTAAGGAACTGCCCAAGTATGGCTCCAGGCACCTCAGATGGGGCTATGAGAGGATGTGGCGCGCTACGGCTGCCTTATCTCGAACCTTACGTACTGAATCCCAAGATCCTTGTAGCAGTTGGGCATCTGCTTAAGTCTAGCTGCTTCTTGGAATGTGGAGCAAAAACCATCAGCCGTCTGCATTTATGTGAAGGCCTCCGACCCCGTGATGACACGAACCCAAATTCACAACAAAGTCTCATATGGCGGCCTTTTTCCTCCTGGTGCCGTCATGGCCGTTGTTCTGTCCTGCTGGAGCCAGGACGGCTGGGAAATTCCCAGAAATGCAATCGTCTTCCTTCAGGAGGCATGCGAGAATTACTGGAACAACTCATGACGGCATGTGCAAACTTCGAACGAACCCATAGCACTCACAAACTGTCAAAAGGCAACCTCGATCATTCCATTCTGGAATGCGAGGGACATCACTCGTTCACATTCTGCAGGGTCTCCATCCAAACCCGTCTGCAAAAAGTGCGGAATGGATTGGCCTTTTGCAAAATCGGCCGGGCTCAAGCCCTGGGCGTCGCGGAGGTCTAACCTTGCACCGTTTGCAATTAGGACCGCCGCGGCCTCGTAGTTAGCCGTCCGCACGGCAAACATCAATGGCGTGCTGCCATGTACATGATAAGCAATGGTCGACAACCCTGTGACTTTCCCGAAACGGTGCGCCAAAGCTGCGGCTCGCAAAACAAACCTACCCAAACGGTTCAGTTCACGCGCCAGGTCGTATTGGCAGTTCACATCGGCTTGGTTGGAAATCAAAAGCTGGACCAGCTCCGCTGAGCCACCTCGCATTGCGGCAAAGGCCATAAAGAGTGCTCTGCTGAGCTCTGCCGTGCTCGCATGCGGTGCCAGCTCCTCCACACAGAGCAACGAATGCATAGCAGCCGCCACATCCAAGCAGGTGAGTCCAACCATGGAAACGGCTTCCCGACGAGCGCCTGCGGCCTGAAGAGCGCGGAGGCATCCGACGCTGTCCGCCGTCGCCGCCCAGTGCTGAGCTGGAGCTAGTGCTACGCCGCCTTCCAGTTCAGCGCCAAAGGAGATCAGAGCGAGAGTTGCATCGCGGTGTGCATAAAGCACTGCCAGGTCTAGCGCGGACATCCATGGCGCAATGCCCGGGTCAGGCACAGGTTTGGAAGTCCGTTGGTTGACGGATGCCCGCAGCCGCAAGAGCCCTCGAATAACCTCAGTCTTGCCGGACAGGGCTGCATAGTGCAACGGCCACCAGCCTGCTGCGTCAGGCTTTTGGACATTCCTGAGGCCGTTTTGGAAAAGGAATTGTGACACTGCATCGACATCATTGTCGATGTCGAGGAGGCCGTCAATGGGCTGGACCTCCAAGCCACGCAAGTGAAAACTCTGCAAGTTGAGCTGGCGCCGGAACCCGGGAAAGTCCGACTTCTTCAAGCAGTGCATCATCTTCCGCATTGCAATATTCCGCATCACTGGTGCCAATTTCTGGCGATCTTCTTCGTTCGAAAAGTTGCCTTCTCCCACTGGGCCTGTTGGAAACGACGTCGTTCCACCCACGACGACAAGGCAGCTGCTACTCTGAATCAGAATCCAGGTGCTGTCTGGAGACAGCTCCCGAGCTGCTCTTTCCACCCGGCACCAGCCCCTCCTGAGCTTTAGAGCCGTCAACTTAAAACTCTAAACCCTAAGCCCTTAGCCCTATGGTAGAAGCCCAAAAGTCGGAAACCCAATAGCCTCAATCCTTAAGAGTAATGTAAAGGTAATCCCAGCACTATTTGTCCTGAATCAGGTTTCCAACTTTTTGGGGTCTACGATTCTAACAGGGTCCACCGAATAAAACAGAATAAGGAGTCTTCCGGGTTTAGGGTCGTGTTAAATGTGTGGGCCCCGGAGGCATCCAAACATGTTTAAAACACAACGAAAAGTTAACTTGCAGGTATGGGATTTATAGGGTTTGCTTGGACCCTAAAGAACCTACATCATGTCCGTATATATGTCTTTAAAATGGTAGGTCATTCAGGGTCCAGGTAGGGCCACACTAACACGCCACGCCAGGCCTCTGGGACCACGTCATCGCACCGAGCACTTTGGAGTCCGACTTGAGAGTTGGGCAAAGTGCCAGAAAATGCTTGCACCTGCTGGTTTCTTGTTAAGGAACTCAATTTAAGTTACCATAGGGATCTATCGTACATAACATGGTTTCTTTATGGTACCTTAAATTACATCCCCTAACAAGAACCCGGCCTGGTCACATATGCTGGAATGCTGTTGATAGCTCTCGCTTGCTGGCTGCCGTCCTTGTCGTCGGCACCAAAGGTTTGGCGGTTCTCCAGCTGTGGGACAGAAAAGTAGTCATACCACACCACCAGCGAAGAGGTTTGAAATGTTCTCTTCGGAATCCGTTTTGCACTGGGCACAAAAACCTCGGTACAGACGTCCACAGGCACACTGCCGCCAGTGCCCAAGAGATGCGCGAAGGCACCCTGCAAAATTTTCAGCTGTTCGCACTCGGGATCTGGGTGGTGCTGGGTCATCCACTGGTGCGAAACAAAAATCGCCGTTTGATCCGCACCGTTGTCGATCTCAAGCAGCTCCCCGCGCGCCTGCCCGGCCCAAACTGTCTAGTCGACCAAATACCTTTTCCATGCACTAGAGCTAGCCACAGCCGGGAAAAAAGGGTTGAGGCGAGGGTTTACCCTAAGCCTCTAAGTAGTCATTTCTGGCAGATGTGAGGGCCAACAGTCTGGATGACTTGCCTACTCTGTGTTCTCGTTTTCAACAAAGCAGAAAATCAAACTTCTTTTATGCAATCAGTATATGGCCGTGTGCCAAAACCCCCGGTTGTTGCAGAGCGCGCGCGAAACCATCTGTTTCAGACCTATGTAATGCCCATCTTGATACAGACCTATGTCGCGCGCATGCACGACTGGAAGCCAAAAGGGGAAACAAGACAACAACAAGCAGGTCTGTCGCAAACCCCCGGGCATTGATACATACCCTATGTAACGGGGTATGTCGCGTGTGTGGGCCACGACCCTGTTACAAGCAATTAATATTGGCACACGGCCATATAGGAAGCCGTAAAGTTTATGTACCACTGGAGACTTAGTAAGCCTTATAGGGTTCAGGGCCAAGTACTGAGGCTTCCCGGAGATTCTCTGAGTCTTCGAAATAGCGTGTGCCCACCTTCAGCTCTTCATGCGGTTCAACAGCCGTCATCTGCAATAACGTCTCAACGGCAACTGTGTACATGGGAAAGAGCATCTTGGCCTGAGCTGCACTTCACACGTGGCTGACAAAACGCACGCTCACTCTGCAAGAGCTTCCATGGACCACAGCCTGTCCCTAAGGCTCAAAACTGCGAAAAACTTCTCCAGATCTCCTCTAAACCCTGAATCCTAAACCCCTACACCCTGAACCCTAAACCCCTACACACTGAACCCTAAACCCTGCTAATCTGAGTTGGGTGCGGTTTTGGGCGGAGGAGGGGTCGGCAGGCGCATTTCGCACTGCTGGGACGAGAAATCCAGACCATTGCAGGGTTGGGCTTCTTCCCACATAAATTGAGGTCCATAGATTGAGGTGGATGATCAGCATCACAAAAGAACTCCAAGTATATAAAAACCCTGTCTTGGGTTTCGGGTTTTGGGTTTAAGATTATGCTGAGCCACGCCATTGTCCGTCGGCAGGGACTTGGCATGCAGCTCCAGTGCAGTCGGGAGCCTTCCTACGCAGCAGGACATGAGCTCGACTCAGTACCACGCACACTGCCTTTCCTGTAGCCGGAACAAAAGAAGAGCGAACACACACCTTTTTAGGCTATATAGGCTTTGCCGCAAGACGTGCGTCAGCAGCAGAGGGCGTTGAAAATCGGGTTTTGGGGCAGGTTATACGGTGGTGTGACGGGATATGTTGATTAAATCTTCCGACCCCTAGAAAAAACAATTGGCGCACTGTTCGGGTTCCTCTAAGGAATTATGAGGGTGGTAAAGGGTCTATGGGTTCAGGGGTGCCGGGCGTAGGCTCTCGACTCTGGGGCATTATATAGGTTTGGGGCTTAAGGATATTCGGGTGTAGGGCCAAAGGGATATTCGGATTTCCGAGAGGTTTAGTGGGGTAGGCTTATTATCAATATCTAGGAATCTAGGAGTATGTGGTACAAATAAGAAATGATAAGCTCGCTCTCATACTTAGCATCATTGAATGATGTTTCAAATGTTGAAACATAATGTCTGGGTTTCGGTTGCATCAGCATTTCGAGAAGGGTCGGAATTCAGGTTCAGGATTTAGTGTCGGAAATTTGTGCGAATAGGTGTAAATCGGATTGGTTGAAACCCTGCAGCACAATCCGTGGGAGGACGACGCAGCCAGTGTCCAATTTTCCGTTCCGAACTGTGCGGAGTGACATGGTCCTTGCTTGCATCGGTATCACGTCTCGTGCGCCTGCGTGTGCTAGCAGACACCGATGTCAAGGTGTGACTATCTGAATCTGGCAGCCCCTCACAAGCTTGGCTATGTGAGCAGCTGACCTGTGCCGGAAAAGCAACCATTCTAGCCACCGGACCGGCTCGCATGAGGATGCACGAAACCGCTTGTTGAGCAGTGAATTCGGATCATGCTCGGCCAGCCCTTGTCAGGCTTGCTGCATCACACTTCGTTGTTACTGTGCCTGTCTTATCTTCGACATCTTTTTCGACGTCACGCGCTGCAAATCTGCAAGTGGCTGGCTCTAAATTTCCAAAATTATAGCTATTGCGTCGCGCTTGGCGCGACGGAGGGAAGCAGTGCTCTGTTTATCTTCTGCCTCTGGGCATCCTGAAGCTTAAGCTGCCAGGATGCTCACACAGAAATGATGGTGCCGGCTGTCGCCCCGGCTTCGTCCACGTTCATATCCACCTGTGACGGATGCGAAGGGCACATACCCTAAACCCTAAACCCTAAACCCCAAAGCCCTAAACCCCAAAGCCCTAAACCCTAAACCCTAAAACCCTAAACCCTAAACCCGCTGCACCGGTAGCAGCGCTGGGCTTCCCACGTCTTTTTGTGACGCCTCCGCGTGGGCCTGTGCGTTGCCTGCCTCTCGGGCGGCCCGCTTCGCCTTTGCAAGCGCCAAGTCTCACACACAGCTACTCAGTTCACAGCAGGGTTTAGGGTATAGGGTTTAGGGCTTAGGGCTTAAGCTTAAGGTTTAGGGGCAACAGCATTCGAGGGCCTGATGCCAGAGAGCACACAGGTGTTGGTGGAAGAATCTCACAGACTCCAGGTCTGACTCGCATGACCTCATTAGACAGCCCTTTTCTTTGAAGCTTCCTGTGCTGCAAGAGCAAGAAGCCTACTTGACCCCCAACTTCGGCCAATCGCCTAGGGTTCCATTGATCTGCTCCCGTTACTCCAATGTTTGGGGCTGCCGGGCTGTTGGGTGAATCTTGTGCTTAAAGACTCACTGTGTGTGCCTGCAATTCCCCGAAGGAGCAACAGGCTCAGCTATACGCGAGCTGTAGTCTTAAGTAGATCTCGCCCTGCACATTAAAGGAATTGCCAGATGAGAAAAATGTGCAGAAAGTCTGAAGACTATATGACAAAAAAGCGTGACACAAAAAAGAATGAACCAAAAGAAAAAAATCGAATCGGCTCAGGAACCGCCGGATCTGTTCCACAACATTGTCACCTTATTTTCACAATTTTTCACCAAATTTTTGCAAGTTTTTTCACATTTTCACACCTTTCTCAAGGCCTGATCAAATTTTGGCTCCCGGCCTCCCCATCCTAACAAAGCGTCCTGTCATCACTGTCGACACTCCCAAGCTTGCCCAGCAGCGTGCCTCTTCCCGCTCCTGTTGCTTCTTCATACGCGCTTCCTTCCTGTCTTTCATCTTCTCGTCCCTGGCGGCTGTCGCATGCTGTCGCTCTGGCGCCATGCCCTTGCAATCTCTTCCCAAGTGCCCGCCTGACTCGCTTCAGGTCCTTGGGGTAGCTCCAGTGGAGCAAGGTGTATGCCAGCCTCAGTCAAGACTCCCGGGTTTAGGGTTTAGGGTTTAGGGTTTGGGGTTTCGAAGGCTCGTAGAAAGCTGAGGTAGCTAGGGCCGGCGGCCAGCAAATGAGCCACGGCGTGAAGCAGGTAAGAGTCAAGGCCTCCACACACACAGATTATGATGCGTGCTCTGCGCAGCTCCTGCTCAAACACATTTGTAAGATTAATACGAATATGAGTACGATTCATATACACAACGGTGACATTAACATGATGAGTACACATATTGCTACAAACAATCATACCAGTTATCGTCATAACATTAATAATACTACTAAAGTTAATCTAGTTAAAAGTTTAATACTGCTGTTAATATTATATCAATACGATATTGAAACATGTAGTACATTGCTAATATTATATCAATACGATATTGAAACATGTAGTAGTATATTCACAAATACCACGAGTATATTGACAGACCCTTATATTACATTAATGCTATAACACTTAAAAATATTCCTAATACTATTCACATCCTTACTAGTCTGAATATGAATCTGAGTAACATTCTTACTACGAACTCGACTGACGTACCAAGCATCTCGGCCTTCCCCAGGGCGCGACGGCTCTCAGGATCCGAGACCGCATCCTTGTGGGCCTCATCGATCCTGTTTTCGGGTTGGGCATTGCAGGGTTGAAAGTATGGCGTTTAGGGTTTAGGGTTTAGGGTTTAGGGTTTAGGGTTTAGGGTTTAGGGTTTAGGGTTTAGGGTACAACCCCAATGACCCCTTTTAGATGTCTAGCGCTTGCTTGGGGGTTCTTGTTGCCCAGTCGGTAGGCTTACTCAGGTGTTCTTGCATATGAGGTTTAGGGTTTAGGGTTTTAGGGTTTAGAGGGGTGGGCCTCATCAATCCTGCCCCAAGGAGGAAAGGGGAGAGCGACAGGGAGCCACAAAACCCCCAAAAGACCCCTAAAGACCCTGAATTGCCTGATTTCCCCACATTTTCTGAATTTCCTGTTCCCTAAAGCAAGCCTAAACCCTAAACTCTGAACTGCACAAGTCTTCATCATGCGCCCGTTCCCCTTGAGTGCGGGGCTTGTATCCAAACACATTCTGTGCCAAGAAGCCCACCTCGACGCAGGAAGGACACGGACTGGATAGTCCGCATAATATGGAATTTTGGCACGCCGGCAGTATGCATCAGGAGCAACCACAGGGTTTAGGGTGTAGGGTTCAGGCCCTAGCGCCACGCTAGCGCTATCCTAGCGCCTACATGGGGAAGAGCCTGAAACCTGCAAAGGCGCATGATGCCGCCTTGTGGCGAAGACATAAACCAGCAAGAGCGGAACTGCATATCGCACCTCCATCATATTTTACATACATGGTATTTTGACGTCCGCCCATATGTCCGCGTGCAAGTATGCTTGAACTATTTGGGGGTTCCCGAAAATAAAGGACCCCTGATATAAACCCCC